GGGCCAGGAAAAGAGAGTGAGAGTAACTCTGTAGCCTGGTGATTAGGGCACTCACCTAGCATGTAGAACACCCAGTTCAAGTCCCGCCTACAATGACTATTTTATTATTTACACCAAGTGGAACAGCTCCTACAAGAGAGGTTGAGGAAGCCCCATTCCAGAATATCCCATAGCCCAGTGACAAGGGCAACCTCCTGCAACATGGGAGACTCAAGTCCAAGCCCTTCTCCATATGAATTGACGCTGTCTCCCCCACATCCAAGGAGTGCGTCCTAACTACTGGGCTAAAAGTTACAAAACAGGCACGACCACCACTGCTTCATTTCAACACCAACATTTTGATTTTTTGGTTCAGTAGCAACTATTCAGTGTACTGGACACCAATCTGCAAACAGTTTTGGGTCAAATGAAATGGCATCTTTCAACAAATAAACTATTTGCGAAACAAATTCCACCCTGCTCTAATTGTGAGCTAATTTACTATATACCAGGAACCAGGGACAAGTTGTTAGATTCTGTAGTGAAAAATGTGCCCCTTCCCCTTTCCTCTGGTGATGCTATTTCACAGGCTTTACTACCAATCTCAATTTAAAAAATGCCCTGTATTTTTTAATAAAACACAAATCAATCAATGCTCAAACATAAATATGAACAGTTCTTGAGTTAAGGTCTTCATATAATTTTATTTTTAATTATCTCCAGTATTATACTTCATACAAAACTCCCACTTGGTCTTCAAGGCACTTTTTCCTGCACTAGTGTACTGACCTGCTCCTTAGAGAGGAAAATGAATAAGAGTGCGGAGCCCCATGGGCTTGGCCCCAGGACCAATCCCATTTAACTATTTTTAAACAGTTTGGAAGACAGAGTTGGAGTTTGCTGATGACTCCATTATCTTAAACAAAACAAAACAAAAACCTCCAGAGCACTCAACCCAGGAGTCCAGATGAGATATGCTTGGTACAGGATCCATGCAGGGGTGAGGGAAGGGCAAAGGTAGCTGCAAGCTACCTTTATGCCCTGCCTGTTCTAGGGCCAACTAGGGGCTGGTTTGCAACTTAGAAACAGTCTCATGGCTTCTCTAAATTATGCCCATCTGCAATGGTCCTCCCAAGGGTCAATCTGACAATTGGGAATTGCTGGAATACTGAGGCACTCCTGTCAACCTTTTCCTCCATGGACCCCCTCTATGCTACAAGTAGTGGAAGATCGGTCAGACAAGGGTAATACATCCTTAACTGACCATTTAGACTGGTTTTAAGTCTGTTTTGTGCCCCCACATTTGAAATGTAACTTGGATAAATATATAGTAATACACATTTTCAAAAATAATCTAGTAATTCTGGTATAGGTTAGTGGCTCTGAACTTTCATGGCCAAAAACTTGAGAATCATTGTGAACAGTCAGACAAAAACATTTTAGCAAGTTTAAAAACAATAGCAAACACTATGCTAGTGAGCATTAAGCAAGAAGAAATAAAAGGACATATCTAACAATGGCATGTTCTTATGAGATGTACTATGTTCAATATTGCTTAGAAAAGATATAGGTCATTTAGCAACTTCTCAAAGGGACACTTTAGTGGGATATTACAGATATAGTGGGACTTCTAGAGAATGAGAGACTGTAAAAGGCACATTCATTTAGATATGGGAAAAGCTAGAGGAGACTAAAATGGAGGACAGTATTAAATATGCTGAAGGACAGCATCTGAACTGATGATTTTCTTCTTTTGATAACAAGGGGTTACTTCAACTGGATGGCAAATAAATTGAGAACAAAAGGAAATACCTCTTCAAGCAGCGCATCATTAAACAGTGGCCTTTACTGTGTGGGAGGTTCCCAAACTGTGATCCCTGGGGAGCTTTCTGGTCATATGGTGCTGGCTCTCCTCCTTGCTTCCAGCTGCTAAACTGCATTAAAAGACAGTGGAAAAATATTTACTTTCCTAATTTTTTTTGCACATAAACAATTTCTGTCATTGCCATGGGGATGTTTTGCAATTGCCAAGAGGAAGGGAGGAGCCCAGGACAATCACATATAGGAAAGGAGGAGGTCCATAGTCTCTCCACCAATATGTGGTACATGCTGCGATAATGTTTGATTGCGCTTGCTATTGCAGGAATTAAAGAGGGGAAATTGCATTTTATGAACAATAGCCATTAGGGTTATGCATGCTAAGAAAGGGGACTTATAAAATCTCATGCTTCCAGATGTAAACTGATAGCCACATCTCACCTAGCAATGCACAACTGGCCAGCTATGTTACAGGGTATTTTCATCTTGTTCGGAAGCACCAAGTAATAGTCGCTAGTGAAGGGAATCTACTAGATTTGAAAGCGCGGTGGTCTGATCCAGTATGGCAAAACCTACGTGGTTACGCAATGTGAAAACCTAACCTCATAAATTGGAGGAAGAGAAGGAGTTGGAGGAGAAAAAAACTCTTTTATTGTAAAAAGAAACTGAAGAGGAAGCGCTTACCTATTCATAGGACCTTTCCCACACTAATCAATGCCAAATAGCTCACCATGTGTCTCTGTTAAAAAGATAGAGAATCTCTCTTCTCCAGCTCACCTTGACCTATAAGGTAGTAGCAGTCCTTAGGTGGCCAAGGCTAAATGATACATGAACGATTTACTGTTTCCATCTGCTCTAGTGAAGGGCTGACTAAAAGCCTACCATCCATGAACCATGAACTAAACAGAGGCCAGATCACTGAAAAATCAACTGAAGTTATCAAAAGCCCATTGAGGGAGAGCCAAACCAATGGAGATACCCAGGTGATGAATGCCATTATAAGAATTTAGACGACATACAGGAAGCGGTAACCAAATGTGAACCCACAAATTGGAGTAATCTAAATTTTATCACACATAACCATAATCTATTCTGGGCACAAAGTGGCAGGTTCAAAATGTAAGACCCTTTCAAAATTTGGCCCTAAAGGTTGTGGCTCATGTTCACAAAGCACATCAGTAGTAAAAACCAAGACCTAGACCTCAGGAGTACTTACTTTCCTTCACTCGCAAATCCCCTCTCTAACCAGTAAACACACTGCTTCTCAAAACATTCTACTCTGGATTGGGATTTTGAACATGTTTAAGAGTTCATACTATCTTCACAGAATCCACAAACTTTTCTGTTCATTCATCTTCCCTCCCTACCATGGTTTGGTTACAAGCATGAAAAGAGCCCACAGCAGTAGCTGAGTACACAGCTCCATAACCAGTGTGTTTTGGGGTTGGTTGAAATCTATTTTACAAACACTTATTTTCCTGAAGAAATTCTCCTAAACACTTCCTCTAAAACGTTAAACTGAAACCAGAAACTAGAGCTGAGGCCAGAAGCTCACTTAGGCTTTCAGTTCCTGTTATGTTTGCACTTTGATTAATCTAGTCTAATCTTGAGAGTTATTTTTGTACACAATTTCCTGTAATTAGAGAGATAATGATATTATTTCTGAGCAATCTATTGTGTAGTCCTCATCAACAATGAATTTTGTACACACAGGATAAAGTGTTGTTCCAATGGACAGAACTTCACTGATGCCATAGTGGAGGAAATGGAGTTGAATCTTTACCACAGCCATGACAGAGAATTTTAAAATACTTTTTTGTTAAGGAAATGAATCCATTCTAGATTTTCACTGTCCTCCTTTCTTGCTTCATCTTTCACTGGTCATTGATAACCACAGAAATCTTTACTGTGGATTCTTGAGGGCCAGATCATTTATAGTTGTGGATAGTTGACTGTATAAATGCCCTAACACAGTGGTTTTCAACCAGGGGTCTGCAGATGCCTGGGGGTCAGCAGACTATGTCTAAGGTGTCCACGAAAGGTTGTCATTACCATAAAACAGTAGTTTTCAACCTATGTCTAAGATACCCAAAAAGGTCTGCACCTGCGTTTAAAGTTTTTTAGGGGTCTGCAAATGACAAAAGATTGAAAACCACTGCCCTACCAGGCTGCCAGTGCTGCTATCCAAAGGAAGGATGATTTTGCTCCCCAAACAGTTTTGGAATTATTATTTGCCTCACAGTAATTCCTAGATAATCCAGTTGGGGTTGGGATTCCAAAAGTTTTCAATGGACTCCTAGGGAAAATACAAAACAGGGTTGTTGTTGTTTTTGGTCCTGCAGCCCTGAACGAGGTCACTACGGGTGATCAAGATAGGTTCAAAAGTGAACCTACCTGCATAAGTAATGCCCAAGACGACTGGTGCATTACCCAAGGCTGACTCGAGAGTCATACTGTCCTGGGCCAATGCACCAAATCTCTCCTCTGCCTATATGCTGAAGTCCCCAAGATGATCAGTTTTGGCAACTCCAGGATCAAACATGACAGCATCTTTCCTCCTTGGTGGGAAGCTTGTCATGCCATTAGTTGAAGCATTGATACACTAGTTTAATCCCAAATTTCACCCACTATATGGGCCACTCAAAGATCTGCATCTCTGGGAAGAGGCATTCCACACATTTAATGCAACTTGCTAAAAGCAAGGGTGTGAAAAGAACCAGGGAACACAAACCCCTAATTTAGAGGTGGCCAGCCTGTGACTCTGGAGCCACATGCAGCTCTTCAGAAGTTAATATGTGGCTCCTTGTATAGGCACTGATTCCAGGGCTGGAGCTACAGGCGCCAACTTTCCAATGTGCCGGGGGGTGCTCCCTGCTCAACCCCTGGCCCTGCCCCCAACGCCATCCCTTCCCACCCCCTCCCCTGAGGCTGCCATGCCCTCACTCTTCCCTCCTCCCCTCCAGAGCCTCCTGCATGCCATGAAACAGCTGATTGGGAGGTGCGGGGAAGGACAGGGAGGCGCTCATCAGTGGGGCTGCCAGGAGACACTGGAAGCAGGGCAGAGGGACCTGCTGATGTATTACTGTGGCTCTTTGGCATGTACATTGCTAAATTCTGGCTCCTTCTCAGGTTCAGGTTGGCCACCCCAACCGAATTCGTCATATTCAGAGAGGGCAAACTATACACAGACCCAGTTAATCCGGAACAGTTTGTACAGTCCAAATTTTATCTGAATCTGAAAATTTAAATGCAACAGTACATACAAACGATACAATATATTACTTATTTAACCTTTAGATTCCTGTCCATTTTAACTGTATAATAACTGGGATTACACACTTTAATATATTATGAGAGTTGAAAGGTTAAGCCTTTCAGACACCCAGAAGGGAGGGATAGCTCTGTGGTTTGAGCACTAGCCTGCTAAACCCAGGGTTGTGAGTTCAATCCTTGAGGGGGCCATTTAGGGATCTGGGGCAAAAATTGGGTATTGGTGCTGCTTTGACCAGGGGGTTGGATTAGATGACCTCCTGAGGTCCCTTCCAACCTTGACATTCTAGGATATTAGGGCAAACTCAGCATGAAATTAACAGGTCTATGTCCAAATATCAAATTCCTTGGTTGTTATAATACAATTTTTACTTTTATGCTGAAAACTATGCTTTGGATCCCCTCCCTCAATTATCTGGCACATGACTCATAAGCAAAATACTTCTCCATGGGAGGTCACAAAATGGATTTATGATTTTGAATCAATCTAATATTCATTATTCACTATCAAATCACTATCAAATATGTTGCTCCTTATTAACATATTGCATCTAAAAGGAACAACTGAAGCAATGTCTGGGGAGTTAACAGAAGGTAAATAAAGATATAAATAAAATATAACAATATTGGTAAATTACAAAATATTTTATATTTCACAGAAGATTGGCAAATGTGCATTAAAAACTATCTGCATTGCTTTAAAACCTGTTTCTTTAATATATCACTAAGATTTAAAAATAAATATATAAATATATAAAACTAAGTATTTTATTCATCTTTAAGGGATATTAAAATACATTTGTATACAGTACATTTGAGTAGAACAACTTTGAACATAATGGTGCAATTAACTTACATAACATACAAACAAAACATTTTGAACAAACTCATTGCTAACTAAGGCCCTGATCCTGCATGTGAGTAATTTGTGTACATGTACAGCCTCAGTGAACACAGTCAAGGCCTATAAAAGAGCTCAGGCATTAAAACAAAGTTTACATTCTTTATCCTGAGTATTCAGGAGTAGCTCAACACCTCTCAAGATGAGACCCATACTAATTAGTTATCGGCAGCAATAGAAAAACCCTTCATTCATAGCATAGAATTTAGCAATCATAATTTTCAGTTTTGAAAGTGTGACCTGCAAGTTGCCTGTTGGATAAAACCTCGAGGGCGCTATGAAATATAGTAGAGTGCATAAAAAAAGCTTTCCTTTGACAATAATTTTTATAAATGTATAACATTTATAAATTATTTAAATAACCTATGTATGTTGACAATCAATTTGTGGTGTATTGGCATTTATATTCTAATTTTTTAGCATTTTACAAAATGGCAATTTTACTGATATTCACTCAAACAGAAAACATGTAGTCACACCCATCGTTAGCCAAGAATTTCCCTCTCTGAATCTTTGTCTGAACTCACCCCTTTCAGCTTGGCTCCTAAACTACAAGTGAACTGCTGAGCCACAGCAAATGTCTGTCTTGTCTCTGTAATAATGACTAAAGCCCTCACCCTGCAACTTGTTGCATATGGGCGAAACTTTCTGTGCTTGCATGGAGCCCTACTGACTTCAACAAGCATCTGCCTATGAAAAGACACAGGACTGAGGCTGTAGTCATTCAGTACTACATTAACAACATACTGGCTCTTGAGGATTTGAAATTTTGGAAAGAATTTAATGCCAAAAACTAATCTTGAGAAAACACAGAAGTCAATTTTAACCTTCTTATACTGTGGTGTACTGTAATGCTCACTAGTACACTATGCCAACAGGTATATCAATAATGGAATTCGAAAGACAACGCTTCTGCAAACATAACAAATGTTGCTCATCAAAAGCTGTTAACTACACAACCTTATTCTCAGGGGTAATATTTCCTTTTCAAACTGGGCACAACACACCCTGCTTTTTAATAACATGAACTAATTAAATTGAAACTGCTGATGCTGCATTTTACATTTAAAACCAGTACACAATTCAAATAATATCATCAAAAATACACATCTGCAACAAACTGGAAAAAGAATCAAGACAATTGGAAAAAGAAAGTACTTTTTTCATCTTTATGTAATATTGGTGTTAATTAATGCTTCTTTTCTCAAATTATATTTTTAATATAAAAACGAAAGCAGTTATGATATTTACATTTGTCCACAGGTATTAATTGTAGACACTTGACTTTTCTTCTCATGTGCTAACTTAAAATAAGATGTTCACATTTGAGTTGCATTCAGTGAGTTAAGAAAGGGTTAAGGTATCGTAGCATTTCACAACCTTCCTCAATATGGCTGTGCAGCTCTCCTCTGCCAGGGCATTCTGGCTTCTCTGAAGTATTATGAAAAATAAGCTCTTTGTTTGTCTTGTGCTTTTTCCAATCCATGTTTTCTCACTGTGGCTAAGCTATTCCTGCTTTGCTTGAGTTTGCTTTTATTTCTTTTTCCACTTTTTCATCTTATTTGCTTGTTTGCCATTATTTTTCTTCAGTTTCTTTGCAGCCACACCTTCATTTCTAACAGGCTTAGCTGACAAGGGATTGCTTTTTGTTTCCATGGATCCTGGCTTTTCATTGTTGGGTGTGTCTGTGTGCACTTTTGCCCAATTCATCTAGAAGCATTGGGGGGAAAAAAAAAAGTATTAGCTACTTCAGTCTGCATTAAAGTTTAAACCTAAATATCTACAGGCTTATATTCAGAAATTTGCCAGCTACATCTAGTCCACAGGGCAGTCCTTTAGAGTATGTCACATTTATACAATAGATTAATATAAGGAACCCCTTGAAAAAAATACAGGAGCAAACTAAGCTACCAGAAATACTGTTTGGATGTTCTTTACTTTTTAAAATGTCACAGTATTTGTACAAAATATTAGAGTGAATAGTTTGGATTTGTTAGTGGAAATTCGCACAGTTTGCGAAATGCATTGTTTACTCACTGCCCTATAGTTTGGGACTATGACAAATTCCATCAGAGGCTTCTCCAGACCTAGATAATCAGTTCAATGTAAGTTTAACATTGTGTTACACTAAATCAGTTTACTTGTGATTTAATTTTAGAAGACACGGTCATTTTCGCACTGATAAATTCTTTGATAAAATTCATTTCTAACAAACTAATTATTAAAATGTATATCTTCATGCAACTTAGTCTGTGAAATAACGGAAAACACATACAGTGTAAAGGTGTTCATTTTTACTAGAAGGGAATAAGCCAGTCAAATAAAATTATGTTTATGTCTGAGACATCATAATCATATTTTCCTAAATAAAAAGGTAAATCACATGCCTTCAGACAAGGAGTGACATATGGCTCTTATTTTAAAAATAATCTTGTATAAAAATAAAAGGTAGCCATTTCCATGATTATTTCACGGTTTAAGAGGACATAATTTAGGAATGAGAATTTGAGTAACACCCTTTACCTCAGGCTCATCTCAAAAAGCCACCCGACTTGTAATTAGAATTTCTTCAAAGGCAATGAAGTTGTGTGGGACCAGAAGCAGGCAACAAGCTATTATATCTGCAATATGTTGATGAGAATTTGTCTCTCTTGATCTTAAACACTTTGGGGACTAGGTTGGGGGATTTTTTTTTCCTCTGTGGAACAGGAATACTGCTGTTTCTGCACATGCTCGTCATAAAAACACAAACCAGAGTGTATATCCAGAGGCTCTCCCTTCCCAAAAGAAGCAAATCAGGGTATCAGTGAAATCAAGATGGGAAGAGGAGCAGTTATGTAAACTTTTGTTTAGAAAAAATCCCTCCTGAGATAGTTTGAGGAAAAAAAATGCGATCAAAAAGGACAGCACAAAAATCTGCCTCCAGAGCCAAAATTAGGAGGGAGTCCTTGCTGCAAACATTTTAGTCCCTGTTTAGTTGTGCTTGCGGAATGTTGATACACCAACTGCAGATGCTCCTACTGAAGAACCGGGCTCACCCGCTACACTGTCAGAAAGTATTGTTAGTCCACACAAGTTCAGTGAGCAAAGCTTCACCTCAGAACTTTCCTAGATACAACTTTACCACAAAACTGTGAAAAATCCATGTTTTAAAAATCCTTGTCAATCATAATCGGATACCTGGAATAACAGCTAATTCTAGTTACTCATTAAATAAACAGGGATAGTTCCAGGTAAGTGAATTTGTGTGTTCTGTACTCTTGAGGGCTGTGGTATGAATTTTTCAACTAAGGATCTCAAGCCCAAAGGTGACAGACTAGTAAAATATCTGGTTTCAGAGTAGCAGCCGTGTTAGTCTGTATTCACAAAAAGAAAAGGAGTACTTGTGGCACCTTAGAGATTAACAAATTTATTTGAGCATACGCTTTCGTGAGCTACAGCTCACTTCATCGGATGCATTCAGTGGAAAATACAGTGGGGAGATTTATATACATAGAGAACACGAAACAATGAGTGTTACCATACACACTGTAACCAGAGTGATCACTTAAGGTGAGCTATTACCAGCAGGAGAGCGGGGGAGGGGGAGAAGGGGGAGACCTTTTGTAGTGATAATCAAGGTGGGCCATTTCCATTCCAAGGTGTGTCCATTTATTCTTTTATGTAAATACCACCCTATACCAGAAACCTACTGACCGCTATTCCTACCTACATGCCTCCAGCTTTCATCCAGACCACACCACACGATCCATTGTCTACAGCCAAGCTCTACGATACAACCGCATTTGCTCCAACCCCTCAGACAGAGACAAACACCTACAAGATCTCTATCAAGCATTCTTACAACTACAATACCCACCTGCTGAAGTGAAGAAACAGATTGACAGAGCCAGAAGAGTACCCAGAAGTCACCTACTACAGGACAGGCCCAACAAAGAAAATAACAGAACGCCACAAGCCATCACCTTCAGCCTCCAACTAAAACCTCTCCAACGCATCATCAAGGATCTGCAACCTATCCTGAAGGACGACCTATCACTCTCACAGATCTTGGGAGACAGGCCAGTCCTTGCTTACAGACAGCCCCCCAACCTGAAGCAAATACTCACCAGCAACCACACACCACACAACAGAACCACTAACGCAGGAACCTATCCTTGCAACAAAGCCTGTTGCCAACTGTGTCCACATATCTATTCAGTGGACACCATCATAGGGCCTAATCACATCAGCCACGCTATCAGAGGCTCATTCACGTGCACATCTACCAATGTGATATATGCCATCATGTGCCAGCAAAGTCCCTCTGCCATGTACATTGGTCAAACGGCACAGTCTCTACGTAAAAGAATAAATGGACACAAATCAGACATCAAGAATTATAACATTCAAAAACCAGTCGGAGAACACTTCAATCTCTCTGGTCACTCGATTACAGACCTAAAAGTTGCAATTCTTCAACAAAAAAACTTCAGAAACAGACTCCCAACGAGAGACTGCTGAATTGGAATTAATCGGCAAACTGGATATAATTAACTTAGGCTTGAATAGAGACTGGGAGTGGATGGGTCATTACACAAAGTAAAACTATTTCCCCATGTTTATTCCCCCACCTCCCCGCCACCATTCCTCAGATGTTCTTGTCAACTGCTGGAAATGGCCCACCTTGATTATCACTACAAAAGTTTCTCCCCTCCCCCCCGCTGGTAATAGCTCACCTTAAGTGATCACTCTGGTTACAGTGTGTATGGTAACACCCATTGTTTTATGTTCTCCATATATATAAATCTCCCCACTGTATTTTCCACTGAATGCATCCGATGAAATGAGCTGTAGCTCATGAAAGCTTATGCTCAAATAAATTTGTTAGTCTCTAAGGTGCCACAAGTACTCCTTTTCTTTTTAGTAAAATATCTGTAACCTATGGAGCAAATTTGCTTATTTCAAATGAGCCAACACATTTATCTGCATTTAGTGTGGTTACTTACCTTCTGTTTTCTCGTAGTTTCTTGGGGTCTAGGTGGAAAGGTGCATGGGACTCTTCCATTATTAGTGTGATAGGGTAAAGGAAGGTTGGGATCTAATGGTACCCATGGAACTGAGAGGGTGGAAGGTACATTAGGCAGACTGCAGTGAGCTTTATGTAAATTATACGATGCTCTGGTCACTTTCCCAAGACAGCTCTGGTAAATTGCAACTGATGAATCTCCTGAAGCATGAGTCAATAAGTAAGAGCCCTCCTGCAAACTAAAGCACAGTCACATCACAAATCAAAATTCAAGACTTAATAAAAGGTAGAGTAAATAAAACAAACAGTATTTTTGCTTCTTAGTCCAACCATTTGATCTGTTCATAATCAGAGATGGTAAAAACAGTAAATGGCTTCTGCTGGATAAAGACTTGTTAAAAAAGAAAGGAGAACATAGCTGACACAGTGGGGCATCAAAGTATCTAATATTTACATTAAATATATTAACACACCTAAATAACGTATATAATCTGCAACCTGTTTATTAACGAAAGAATTAAAAAATATCTGGATGAAAATGCTAATTTATCTTCCATTTGTGTACTATTATCATTAGTTATTTAGGCCCTGATTCAGCTAAGCACTTGAGCACATGCTAAAATCCATCCCTTTTCAGCAAAGCACATAAATCATGAGAAAGCACAGTGATGAAAGCATAATTATGAATTCATACACTGGAAGCTTTTTTAATTCACCCAGGCTTATGTAGGTTTATAGAAAGTAAAGGCTCAACCAATTCCCCACCAGAAAAGTCTTAATTACATGTCATAAAGATTGGACCCAAAAACCGTGAAGCTCAAAACTAAGTAAGTAAGATGCTTCACATACATGCATGGCAAGAAACTGGCTTTTCGAAACACATTTCATATTTCCAAAGTGGCTAACAGCCTGAGAAAATTTTAGCAGTTAAATAATGCAAAATAAAGTAGAGAACAAAGCCGCAGAGAACTGGTGAAGACATATGGAGAAAAACTGTGCAACTATAAGTAAGGACAAGTGAAGCCCTGCAGGGGGATAAAAAACAACAACAATCTGTTCCCAGTACAAGCAAAAGGCTAGCAAAGCGTAAATGTTTCCCTTGAAGCACCAATGTCAGGGCCCAATCCTGCAAACTCAGTGAAGTGAGAAATGCCAGTGGGATTTACTGTCTGAGGAAGGTCTACTCTTGAGTAAGGGGGCTTGTAGGATCAAACTCTTATTCTGTACCCTATCTGTAAAGCATTTAGGGTTACTTTTTATGTACAAAAGAGTATGTAACTGTATTATCCAAGTTAAAATAGAAATAGCAGCAGAAGAGTAGACAATTACGTTACAAAAGAAAAAAAATGATCTTTGGAGCCTCTGGGTGCTACTGCAACATAAATATTTAACAACAACAAAAAGTACTTACTCAATCACTTTCTTCAAGATATGTCGAAGTATATTTAATGGATTTGCAGGCCTGTGGGTAGAAAATTCACAGAAGGTAAATTTATAAGCCAAGAGAAAAGGAGTACTTGTGGCACCTTAGAGACTAACCAATTTATTTGAGCATGAGCTTTCGTGAGCTACATGCTCAAATAAATTGGTTAGTCTCTAAGGTGCCACAAGTACTCCTTTTCTTTTTGCGAATACAGACTAACACGGCTGTTACTCTGAAACCTGTCATTATAAGCCAAGATTTTCAAAAGTGACAAGTGATTTTGGGAACCCAATTTGAGACACCCTGAAGGAATCGGATTTTCAGTAAGTAATATTTTGATAATCAGGTCCTTTTATGATGCCTCAAGTTGCTCATCCAATAAACAGAGGCACCCGAAGTCATTAGTTGTAACTGGAAATCTTGGCCATCATACTAAACAAAGCATTTGGGAGTCCTATCTAAATTTTAAACTAAAGCAAAAGGATAAAATCATGGTTCCACTTACACTCGGTGGGCGCTTTGCCACTTACGGATTAAGAACTATCATAAGAAATGACTTGGAAAAGGTTTGTTAATTCTGAAGCTGTTTCATCTTGATTTTTTTTTAAATTATGGACAATAAAGTTTACTTACTTAAATAATCCAAATTTTTCTTTTAACCGTTCTGGAGAAATCTCTTCAAGCATAATGAGCTTTGATGTAAAGGCATCAATATGTCCTGAAAAAAAAATTATTAATTGAATCTCTTCAGTAAAGAAATAGCAAGAGAGAACAAACCTGGTAAGAAAAGACTTTATTAAATGTGTGTAGAAGCCAAATCCAATTTAAAAAAGAATGTTACAAGTTTTGCTTATCTGAAAGTCAATCAGGTAAAAAGCATTTCTGGCCATTAATGCACTCTGTATAAGTATTTGCAAACAAAACTCTACATTGCTGTAATTTTTCTCTAAATATAGATGTCCATGCTCAGGCCTGTGCTTCCAAACTATGCTGGACAGAAAACAAAATAAAAAAATCTGGACCAGTTAAACAATCTCAGGAGCAGGTGGACTGCACTTATTAACCAGCCATACCCCATATCCTGCCTCTAAAATCCTGATGGAGTTCCCACTGACTGTAACCTTGCTCATTTTTGTGATAGTGTTCTGGGTATTCTGCATTAAACTTATTATTTGTATTATCATAGTGGCTAGGAGCCCCAGTCATGGACCAGGACCTCATTGTACCAGGGGCTGTATAATCATACAACAAAAAGACAGTCCCACTTACCATCTAAGCCCTGGTCTACAGTTGGGGTGGGGGAGTCGACCTAAGATACACAACTTCAGCTACACGAATAGCGTAGCTGAAGTCAGCGTATCTTAGGTCGACTTACCTGGCCGGGAGGATGGTGGGAGTCGACCGCTGCCACTCCCCCATCAACTCCGCTTCCGCCTCTCGCGAGCTGGAGTTCCGGAGTCGACGGGGAGCGCATTCGGGGATCGATTTATCGCGTCTAGATGAGATGAGATAAATCGCTCCCTGATAGATAGATCACTACCCACCGAGAAGACCTGCCCGAAGTATAAGACAGACAGAAACAAACAGACCAACAAGGGAGTATAAGGAAACAACAAGACAATATTGGTCAATACGATAAGCAATAATCACAGGGCAATAGCAGCCTAACCATTGTCAAGTTTTTTGTAGATCTCACAACAAAGTAGAGTTTTAAGGAATGTTTTGATAGAGAATACTAAGTTTTGCAGATGTTTACAGAGAGCTTCTCCCAAGCAGGAGGGGCTTGACTTGTCAGTTTCAAACTAAAATTGTTTTATGATAAGAATGATTATGTTTCAGCACTTTACAGACTATGTGGGCTTTTCCTTTTGGGTTATATCTATGTTTGCTTTTATACTAAAAAGAAAAGGAGTACCTGTGGCACCTTAGAGACTAACCAATTTATTTGAGCATGAGCTTTCGTGAGCTACAGCTCACTTCATCAGATGTTTACCGTGGAAACTGCAGCAGACTTTATATACACACAGAGAATATGAAACAATACCTTTTTAAATAAATTGGTTAGTCTCTAAGGTGCCACAAGTACTCCTTTTCTTTTTGCGAATACAGACTAACACGGCTGTTCCTCTGAAACCTGCTTTTATACTGAACTCCTCATTCTGTTATCCAAATACCTGGGTTCCTGTTTCTTTTTTCTATCTGGACTTTTCTTATCTGAAAAATTGTAATTTGCAAGTCTGAGTTTGCCATTGGTGACAACAATCTTGCTAAAAATGCTAAATGACCATTTTGACACAGATGTAAATCAGCGATTTAAACGTCCCGGCTTGTCAAATTTTAAACAAGAGCAGGTCAGGAGAATGGTGAGGGTTGGCTAGTGCATCATATCCACTGGCCCACAACAACATATTGAGAGAGCTCCCTCCTGGAAAACCCCTCTCATTCTAGTTTCCATAGGGGAAATCAGAATTTCATTGTTGGAAATTAAAAATATATATATATATATAAATTGCAAACAGAACATCATGAGTAGCAAGAGAAAATATATATTTTGTGGACTTCACAAGCTCATTACAAATCTGCAATTGTAGAACCAACGAATTTTAAAACAACCATTATATTCAAATGGCTCATCCCAGTTATTTTACATTCAATGCCAAACATTAGGTAATCCATTATTTGATGTTGTGGAAGATTACTGAAAAGACGTCTTTATTCTGAATGGATTAGAAACCGTAAGAGGACAACCGGCACAGAGCTGCTCTCATTCTACTCAGGAAAATAGAATATTAGGGTTGGAAGAGACCTCAGGAGGTCATCTAGTCCAATTCCCTGCTCAAAGCAGGACCAACACCAACTAAATCATCCCAGTCAGGGCTTTGTGAAGCCTGACCTTAAAAACCTCTAAGGATGGAGATTCCACAACCTCCCTAGGTAACCCGTTCCAGTGCTTCACCATCCTCCTAATGAAATAGTTTTCCTAATATCCAACCCAGACCTCCCTCACTGCAACTTGAGACCATTGCTGCTTGTTGTGTCATCTGCCACCACTGAGAACAGCCCAGCTCCATCCTCTTTGGAACCCCCATTAGGTAGTTGAAGGCTGCTATCAAATCCCCCCTCACTCTTCTCTTCTGCAGACTAAATAACCCCAGTTACCTCAGCCTCTCCTCGTAAGTCATGTGCTCCAGCCCCCTAATAATTTCTGTTGCCCTCCGCTGGACTCTCTCCAATTTGTCCACATCCCTTCTGTAGTGGAGGGACCAAAACTGGACGCAAAACTCCAGGTGTGGCCTCACCAGTGCCAAATAGAGGGGAATAATCACTTCCCTCGATCTGCTGGCAATGCTCCTACTAATACAGCCCAATAGGCAGTTGGCCTTCTTGGCAGCAAGGGCACACTGCTGACTCACATCCAGCTTCTCGTCCACTGTAATCCCCAGGTCCTTTTCTGCAGAACTGTCGGTCCCCAGCCTGTAGCAGCGCATGGGATTCTTCCGTCCTAAGTGCAGGACTCTGCACTTGTCCTTGTTGAACCTCATCAGATTTCTTTTGGCCCAATCTTCCATTTTGTCTAGGTCACTCTGAACCTTAACTCTACCCTCCAGTGTATCTACCTCTTCCCCCAGCTTAATGTCCTCTGCGAACTTGCTGAGGACATTAAGGGTGCAATTCATCCCATTGTCCAGATCATTAATAAAGATGTTGAACAAAACCGACCCCTGGGGCACTCCTCTTGATACTGGCTGCCAACTAGACATCGAGCTGTTGATCACTACCCGCTGAGCCCGACAATCTAGCCAGCTTTCTATCCACCTTATCGTCCACTCATCCAATCCATACTTCTTTAACTTGCTGGCAAGAATAGTAACCTAGACTTTTTTTATTAGCTTTTATCTAGGTACTTATGAAGGCCTGAAAATACCTTAATACACATAAAGGAATGACAAGAAGGGAGACAACTTAATTTTTTAAAATCTTTTTATTGGCTGAGAAACAACAGCTCCCATTTTAAACCAAGGGAGCTGATCTCAACTTCATTTACTGTGCTCACAGCAAGCATGAATGTCTTTCTTTGGAAACACATGGTATCAAGATCGTTCGCTTTGTTGCAAACTTGGAGCAACTGCACAGCAGCGTATGTCTATGCAGCCACTGCAGTGTACCCCTGGAACAGTGACTGCACAGATTCAATTGACCTCTCTCTGGCCTACCTCAGGGCTCCCCTTCACACAGATGTGAGTTGAAATCCCTCATTCTATGCCATTGATCCATCAATCCCACTCCCCACAGTATAGAGTCGGGGGGGGGGGGGGAGGTGTCAAGGAACATAGAGCGCTTTACATAGGCCTTTGTCAAGGTTCCTTCCCCACTCTGAACTCTAGGGTACAGATGTGGGGACCTTCATGAAAGACCCCCTAAGCTTATTCTTACCAGCTTAGGTTAAAAACTTCCCCAAGGTACAAACTTTGCCTTGTCCTTGAACCCTATGCTGCCACCACCAAGCATGTTAAACAAAGAACAGGGAAAGAGCCCACTTGGAGACGTCTTCCCCCAAAATATACCCTCAAGGCCTACACCCCCTTTCCTGGGGAAGGCTTGATAAAAATCCTCACCAATTTGTACAGGTGAACACAGACCCAAACCCCTGGATCTTAAGAACAATGAAAAATCAATCAGGTTCTTAAAAGAAAGAAAAGCTAAAAGAATCACCTCTGTAAAATCAGGAGGGTAAATAATTTACAGGGTAATCAGATTCAAAACATAGAGAATCCCTCTAGGCAAAACCTTAAGTTACAAAAAGACACAAAAACAGGAATATACATTCCATCCAGCACAGCTTACTTTACCAGTCATTAAACAAAAGGAAATCTAATGCATTTCTAGCTAGATTACTTACTAACTAACAGAAGTTCTGAGACTGCATTCCTGATCTGTTCCCAGCAAAAGCATCACCCAGACGGATAAACCCTTTGTTTCCCCCCCATCCCGATATGAAAGTATCTTATCTCCTCATTGGTCATTTTGGTCAGGTGCCAGCGAGGTTATCTTAGCTTCTTAACCCTTTACAGGTGAAAGGGTTTTGCCTCTGGCCAGGAGGGATTTTATAGCACTGTATACAGAAAGGTGGTTACCCTTCCCTTTATTTTTATGACAGCCTTCAACCTAAGTGAAAGCAAATTTGCAAGTATTTACAGGTAAACAAAGTAATCAGCCTACATCATAGCAGAGTCTTGATAGCACTTAATCATTTTAAGTGCTTATCAACGTTTACATAACTACAAAGCAATAATGTTAATGTTGCCAAGGCATTATGGTTTAGATTTGCATTGAACATGAAGTGCGAATACACTCATCTTTTTCAGGCTGAAACTTCAATTATTTCTCAGCCAACATTATGAAACTGAGCACATTTCATTATGGGAAGAGGCCATGAAGCAGTTATACTGTAGGTTTCAAGGGAATCAGTACTCCACATATTAATATATTATACATACACACAAAGCTCTAGCTTAAAGTCAACAAAGCCGGCAGACACACGTGTACATTTAGGTTGGACATACAAGCTGCAAAAAGGAGTCTTTATTGTTCCATTTTATTTGTTTTAAATAGTTACACTAACTGCATTGTGGTTATCCTGGGATACCACAGGGTTCCCATGACACAAAGAGGAAAACTGCTGTATCAACTTGCACTGTTTCCCCCCCACAGGTTAGGGAAGGTGAGAATCAACAGCCAACGTGCTGGCTTCACTGCCTCTCAGACCCCACAAAGCTAGAACCCTGCTGAATTTCCATGGAAGAGCTGTGTAGACAGACAGAAGAGAGACGCATGTTACAGAAAGGGAACTCCCTTATTTCATGGAAGTAAGCATATTGACATATTTTATTTTCTGGTATTACTCCCAGGAAGAGGATGGTTGCCAGTATCATGCTAGTAGTTTATCATACACTTTAAATTACAAAGTATCTTAAAGCGGGTATGAGTATCATTAGGACTGGCAGTCATGTTTCAGAGCAAAAACTATTTTTACCTCAGTGCAACTAGAAATGTAACCCGATAGACAGAATTTCACTAGCAGTCTTCCAATATACTTTTAGTCATAGCAAAAACAATTCAAAAGTGCAACACTCTAGGTTTATTTCCCACAGTGAAGCAGATGAATATAGAAAGTGATCAGTGTTCTTTTGCAGGAAGGTTAAAGGGATTCTGTCAATTTATGTCTGTGTGTGTCTACCTACTATTACAATTGCCATCTAGAATTACTACAGATGAAAGATTAGTGACAGAATATTTTCTTTCCTTTTGTTTACTTGATGAATATGACAACACTATGTACAATCAATTTAATTGTTTCCCCTGCCTAGGCACTAATCCTTTAAACCCTTACAATGAGGATTTTCAAAAGGCCTATGGAAGTGAAGTGCCCAACTTTCCAACTGACTTTCAATGGGAGTTTAGCACCTAATTCTCTTAGGCCCCTTTGAAAACCCAAGCCTATATGCATAAATTTACTCAGAAGCATAGTCCACAGAGACTTCTCGCGTGAGTAGAATTACGCCCATAGTCATTTATTTTCCTATTTGTGTGGTTTCTTCACATAGCAATGGAGAGAGAGAAAAAACAATTAAAATAGGAAAATGTGTTAGTAAAATCCATGAAAATTGACTGGTGAATTCAGAAGTAAGGATTACTTTTTAAAAAATTGACTAGATTTCACTCTATACTTTTAAGATTAGGATAAAAGGGGAAGTTTGTATGTAAAGGTTAGGACAAAAATAACTCAGCAGCTCTACGAAACAATTACAAAATCTTTTGCTATGAAGCTGTTATGTGTGGGGGTGGGGGGCGGGAACACCTAAAAGGGATAAACTCAGAGAACAACTGGAACCACAGGCCACAACAGTTGCTATAGTAACTAACAAAATAAGACAAGCTTTTTCTACAACAGGAAAATGAGGCAGTCCTAACTGTAGAACATTCATTCTCTATACAAACAGGATTCCTCTGACCACAAGCTGAGTGCCAAACTCATTTAAAAATACTTTTTTGAACAAAGTAGACATTACATCTGCTGTAAATTACCCTATTTATTAGCTAGCAGCAAGTTACCAATATAAAGATGACCTACAAATCTTAGTTAGGGATCCTAGTTACGTTAACGTGGGCCACATTACATATATGCAAGAGCTGGTTATTACAGATTTGACAAAAGTTTAGTCAAAACACAGGCAAGCTTCCCTCTGCAACTCTGGGGAAGGGAGAGACACAGCTCTACTTCCCTGCCTCTCCATAGCTCTGGTGATCAGAGATGCCCATGGCCGGGGTGCTCTGCCTCCCTATGCCCAGAGCTGGGGTTTGGCTGGGAGGAAGAGGACCCAGGCAGGGTTCCAGGGCCTCTGCCTCTCCAGCAGCCAGACTGGAATGGCTCTTGTCAATTTCACCCTGCGGGTGGCTGGGAAAGCAAAAAATTACATTTAGGCTCTCCTGAAACAGAGGTTTTTCTTTAAAACACTTTCCATGGAAAATGTGAAGTTTCCTCATGCTTTTGAGAAAGTTTCCTGCCAAAGTGGGACAAAACATTAAAATATTTGCAGAGAGGGATTTTTTTTTCAGCCAGCTCTACATATATGTAGTATTTTCTATTAGTTTTTGTTAAGTGTTTAGTTCAATATGTTTCTATTCACAGGATATGCCTCATGTCCACATTAACCTTGTTGTAGGAAGTTTAAGTTTTGCATTTCCGGATTTCAAAATTTTAATTGTACAATCGTGAACAAAGCATTAGACATTTTTTCCTTTGTAAGAGCTGTGTCTGTGGTACCTGGAGAGACAAGTGTTTTGAGAAAGCCACACCTCTACAAAATTAAGTCCTAAGTATTCCCAGGCTGTCACCCTGGCTTTAACCTCCTCTTAATTTTATTAAGATGATGTTGAAGTAAAAAGAAAATGGTACAGAGTTTAAGCATAGAAGTTTCTGGTTATCAGGGAATGAGGTACAGATTATCAAGGCGTGCGAAATTCAGTTTAGGAACGGGTGGCGTAAGAATCTGCAATCTCCCCGATTGGGGGTAAAAGTTTAATGGGTCGAAGTACCGACATTGAGATATGGGGGTATGTTGTTCATATAATGGCTATGTTCAAGTGTGTTCTAAGTTCCAAACTACATCCACTATATCTCCCATTGAAGAGCAGTATTTTTCCACAAGCTCGCTCTTTACTGACACATTCCTCCCATTCCATTTCAAACAGAAGTGGCTCCTCCCCTTCTTTTTCCTCTCTATCTTTCACATGTTAAGAGGACAGAGAATATTGAGGCCCCTCTTAGTCAGGGTTGTTTCTAATCACAAGGCATGTTGGGAAATAAGACCACAGGTGTCAGACAGACATGGGTGGGGACTAGCACACTGCTAGTTGAACATTTTTTCACCTGAAGTAGGAGCAATTACTTGATGGAAAATGGCTTTGTTATTCTAGGTAAGGTAGTTCCATGTTCAAATCTTCTGGGGAAAATTACAGATAAAACTAGAAGTTTTTGTCTACTATGTGATTTGATACTCTCTCCCTCATGTTAGGAGCTTTTGCTTAAAGATAACAAGACAACTGAAATCCTAATATTCTACATTCAATGCAATCTCTTAAAGATGTTTAGTGTTTCACAATTTCAAAACACAGAAATAGCAAAGAAAGGTTATAAAATATTTTTACAGAATGCAGCGAAACCACAAACCAGAAAATTATTCCCAGTTCCTTAGATTTTTGAAACTGTACAATATTTTCAGTTTTTGTAATTAGCTGTATGAAAACTTTTGCACATGAAGTGTTTAAAGTGGAACAAGCAGTTTCAGAAAAAGGCAGGAATTGCTCTTGCAATTACGCTTATTTTTTTAAACTTTGACATATTAAAATTAAATATGAGAGTCACAATGTCTGGGATAGAGCGAGGTCAAAGAGGAAATTCTGTTTGCTATGACAGTCTCACTCACAAAGGCTAGAGCTTAGTAAAGGAAGACAGATTCAATGGTAGAACTTATTCAAATTCTCTTGCCTTTTATTTCATTCTCCTTTTATTCATCATCATCAAGGGGTTGAACACACAGGAAGTACTGCTCATCTCATATTGAAAAAAAAAATGTGGCACTTTACCTTTTCCCTCACTATAACATCAAACCAAATGACTCAATATTGTCTTAGCCAAATACCTAATCTCTCATTGCAATATGTAAATACTGTTTTGTTAACAAGTATCTTTAACATTATGGTTGAAATTGCAACAGGTAATAGCAAAGTAATAAACTAAGAGGCCCTAAGTGAATAAATCAGTTACCAAACGAAGAAAAACACCACTCTTGATTAAAATCCCAGATACAATACTCAAACATACAAACTGGACAAGAATATACACAAACTTACCAACATAAAATAAGCATTTAGAATGCAACAAGCTCTCTGTCCACAACCGACATATTTCACTTTCTGTAAGAGCTTCTACTCCATAATAGGCTTGATATTCTACTTTTGGTAATATGTACACTGGAATATGCTGTAAGTAAAAATAATATTAGCCAAAAGGCCATTAATTATCTACAAGTTATTACAGCACCTTAATTACTTTTTAGTATACGACAATCATCACAGCCTTCTAAATATCACTCACTCAAGAAGCAAGAGAATAATTACACAGGATTTTGGTACAACAGAACATTTTACATGAAACACTGTAAATTTAAACAATTATAATATTAAAGAAAGGTGAAAAATATAAAAAATAGAAAAATGACTCTAAGTAAGCTTTTATGTATAAGCAAACTACAATCTAATAAATTCCTAATTAGGTAAAGTTATTAGACTCTGCCATCTGCTGCCACCTCCAGGAATTCAAGAAAAATTAGACAATTGTTCTATTTCTGAAATAACCTATTAGAGGGAAAGGAAAATGCCATACATATTATATACCAAGAACACATTTAAAATCCAAAAATATAATTTCCATTTTAACACTAACATTTTGTGTTTAAAATACATAGAACATCAGTTTTCCTTTTATCTACAATGAATGGAAATAAAGCTTTCCCCCCAACCTAAAATTACTTCAGAAGTGTAGAGTTTGTACGCACAGCTTTAACTTTCAGCGGATGGAAGCACAACTATTAATAAATAACAAAGCTCATAATTATGATTGTGAATGAAAGCAGAAGCCCTGAAGAGCTGACAAAATGAGATGTTAGAAGTCTTTAATCTACATGTAGACCTTCCCATGGAAGACTCCTTCACTATTAGTTCAAAGTAATTATTAATTTTTAAGATTTGAAATTGAGTGCAAATACTAAAATCCCATGAATCCCAAAATCAACACTTCAAAAATTATCCTTTTTGGGGAAAATGCGTTAAAACCTCTGTTAACATAAATCTCCCCCCAACACTATTGTCCCTCAGAGCTTGAGGGGAAAATGTGTAATACCATAGCAAGAAGCAAAAAACAGTCATCAGGATTTAAGCAACGTACTAGGTAGTCACTTATGAGCATTTACAAGAAAGGAGCTAGTATCTAAACAGCGATAACTCCTCCAAATAATGTACTGATCAGTGAACCTTGGGGAATAATCAAAGCATAATGGAGACTGAATTCTGCATTAATAGAGATAGGCAATATGTGAGCATATTCCAAAAGTCTCACAGATTGTATGTGTTTTTAGGCATGAGGTAACATGCTAAATTCACCAAATGAAAGTCTTAGACTAGAGGATCTACTCAAAGCACCGGAATCCCCTGATGATTTCAGAGTAAGTTTTTGATTCCAAGCTAGGCAAAGTCTATACTGGAATATTAGGAATTCCCATGCTACTGAGATAGACTTTTGTTTCTCAAGTGCAACCATCTGCTGTGAAACACTTCATAGCAGCTTTTTCAACAGAATGAAGTGGGTCTGTGGGCCTTCTGGAAACCGAGATATGATCTTCTGGCCGACCTGCAAACCAGATTCCTCCTACCATCCCCCTTTGTGTTCTGGGAAACTCTACGGCCGCCTCCAGTCTTTCTAGCAGTTTGGGACCATTGACTACCTTTACCTTTGATTGGCAAAGGACAGGGAAAAAAAGGCACGACAAAGCATTGTAGGAGTGACATGAGAAAATTCCACTTAAAATTTTTCTCCCTACTTCATTTCATTCAATATCACCTAATACATTGCTTCTCAGCCAGGGGTCCGAGGCCTTTAGGAAATCCCCGAGCAGGTCTCAGGGGGTCCGCCAAATAAATGAAAGAGCAGGGCTGGCGTTAAGGCTGAGGGGCTGAGAAAGCCCTGCCCTGAGGGGCTGAAGCCAAAGCCTGAGCATCTTAGCTTTGTAAAAAGAACAGGAGTACTAGTGGCACCTTAGAGACTAACAAATTTATTGGAGCATAAGCTTTCGTGAGCTACAGCCCACTTCATCGGATGCATAGAATGGAACATACAGTAAGAAGATAGATAGATAGACAGATACATATACACAGAAGGTGGAAGTTGCCATACAAACTGTAAGAGGCTAATTAATTAAGATGAGCTGCTATTAGCAGGAGAAAAAAACTTTTGTAGTGATAATCAAGATGGCTCATTTAAACAGTTGACAAGAAGGTGTGAGGATACTTAACTTCAGGAAATAGATTCAATATGTGTAATGACCTAGGGACCCCTGTGGCATTGTGCCTGGGCAATTCCCCTGCTTGCTACCCACTAACACCAGCCCTGGCTTTTATATGCAGAAAAACAGTTGTGGCACAGGTGGACCGTGGAGTTTTTAATAGTATTGGGGGGATGGGGGTGGTTCAGAAAGAAAAAGGTTGAGAACCCCTGACCTAATATACCAATATCAAGCAACATGCTTGTACCACCCAGGGTTACGTCCACCTCCTCTCCACTTCCAGCTATATAAAGGCTCCTCTGGTGCTGCTGCTAGGTCTGTTACAATGTGTTTCATATGCCAGTGCGGTTCTCTCTCTCTCCTCACCAAGATGCAAAAGGAAGGAGAAGTGAGCATTCTATAGCTTTACATGAGGGATTCTCCATAGCATAAAAAGAGCATGAACAACCCAGATCAGAAGGTGGAATTCCCTGATGTTTTAGTGAAAACCCTACTCCAATCTTATCACAAGGAAACCAAGGCCCACTACTGAAATAAATACAGGCAGAGCTGGCAGCAGTGCTTATAGTTAAGGTTGCTTAACACTTTCCATTACAAGACCCTGATTTCATTTGCTTATAACTTTGCTGAATTTGAACCATTCACCTGCAATTTTCTGAGTTTGCTTCATGCTGACCTTTCTTTTCAAATTTCAGTGTGAACGGCTGAAGCATTTCCAAGAATGGGTTTGGGGGAAAATACGATGTTTTTCCAAAGTTAAAACACACTTACATATCGATACTTTGTAGCAGGGACTTGAAATGTGGCAGGCAGGTCACTCTGATGCCAAAGAGGTACCTTTTGCTCTCTTCATGAAAATTTTCTTATATTTTGCTAAATTATAAGCTTTTGAAAATCATAATTTGCACGTGCTCAGTACTGGTTTGTCTGGTGCTGGCAACAAAGGCGTGTCTCATACTCCCCATCTAGTATCTGTCTCACATAGAGAAGACCCTGCTCCTCCCAGTTACTTCATTAGCTGCAGTGGTCAAGATGTTTCTGCTATGGATCTAAAAGTCCCAACCCTGCTGATGACCCATGTGAGGGTCAGTATGGTTCCACATCAGGGAATTTCTGGTTGTGTTCTGTTTTGTGGGGAGGGAGTGTTTCAGTTTGCTTTTTTTTTTTTTTTTTAAACGAGTAAATTATATTTTTCATAAAAAGGTAAAAGAATTTTAAAGTTGCAAAGTCAAATGCTAAAAAAGTTAAGAAATGTCAGAATTAAGGGGTACCTGGCACAACCTTAATTCAGCGCTCTTGTACATATGCAATTCCTAACTTTTGAGTGCTTGATTTTGGAACCTGAACATTGTTCTAATGTAGTTTTTTTGTATGTGATACATAAAATAAGAGTCCTTTGCATTTCTACAAGGAGTCCGTTGGCACCTTAAAGACTAACAGATTTATTTGGGCATAAGCTTTAGTGGTTTTTTTACCCACGAAAGCTTATGCCCAAATAAATCTGTTAGTCTTTAAGGTGCCACCGGACTTCCCTTTGTTTTTGTGGATACAGACTAAGATGGTTACCCCTCTGATACTCTGCATTTCTGCATCATCTTCCTAGGATCTAAATGCAATTTACAAATACTAATATTCCCACAACCCTTGTGAGGTAACTATAATTATTTCCATTTTACAAGCGTACAGTTGAGATTAACTGACTTGCTCAAGGTCACACAAAGTGTGAGAGCACGAGCAATAGAGCAGCGATCTCCTAACTTAATGAGACCAAATTCCCATTGTGGGAGTGTCACCACACTAAGTAGTGAGGGATCAGACCCTAAAGTACTTAACTGCATGAACTAAATGGGGCTACACAAGTCAAAAGATATCCTTGCCTCTCTCCCTACAGAAAATAATTGCGCATCGGATAGAAATTGGACAGTTACAGAAATGAACAAAATACAAAAGGATGTATTAGTGAGGACTGGATGAAATACATTAAAGGAATAAGTGTGTGTAAACAATACTGCAGCGCTTGAGGCAATGCCTTTATCTCCTTAGAGCACTTTAAATAAAAGTTTTGTTAATGGAACAAGTTTCGGTCAAGCACATATGTAAAAGGTGCCAAAAGCAAGATCTTTACCTTTCTGATTTGTCTTTTATTATAGGATCGTGGCCCTGTCCTTACTTTTTGTACACTGCAACGTACGAGTAACAGCAGGTCATCCAGACTGAACAATTTATATACAAGATTGCCATCCTGAGGAGCTGTGTATTCTGACTGGTCTTCAACGAGCGTCTTAAGTTCACTTGGGAGCAATCCTTTTGAAAATAAATAAAAACAGAAAACAGGCTCACATAGTCTTTACAAGAAAGTAATTAGATTTTTTTCCCCTCTCAGAGTAGAATAAAACATTTATTGTATTTTATCTTTTAGTTAGAGGTTTGTAAAATTGTCTTATCAAACCAGAGGGGTCACTTGCTATGAATTTCTAGATAAACCAAACCTAGAAAATGTCATGGACCAATCCTGTGTAATAACTAAAAGTATACTAAACACTTGCATATATTTTGCCCTCGTCACAGCTATTCTTATGCAAACAGAACACTAGGCTGCTGTTCTAATACAAATGGAGGGTCAGAGTCTGACCTCTGTTGCACCAGTGGACACCCGGAATGACTTCACTGAAGACAAAAGTAGTAAATCTGAATCTACTCTGCTGTAACATGGCAGATTCTGTCCCAAATACTGTGATCATCTGTGGAATCAGAAGTTGTTCGTGAATGTGAATTTAATTCTGTGATTTATTAAGATTTAGAGAGAAAAGATTTAGAATACTGTACACAGCTATAATCATAGTAGTTAGGAGACCAAGCCCATGGCTGGGGACAAGTGCTACAGGCTTAAAAAGACTAAAAGACCTAAAAAAAAGTGCCAGGGTTGCATGGGTAAGGGAACTCTTATTGCCCGAAGCTCATCGTCAGTTTGGTTTAAAATGCATCTACTAAAATATAGAATTGCAATTAATAAAACTGGATGTCTTTCTTGGACCTATATAGATTTAGAGTAATACATAATTTTTGATGGCTTCAAAACACAGCAACAATGGTGTTTTGGCAGCTGCCATCTCTAAATGTAGGAGTTCTAGATTAATGGCTTTCATTGCCATCACTGCACATGACCTGTAGTTCTTTGCCTCTTTCTTTTTAGGTTTCATATTCAGAATAAAGACATTTTTAGGCTTTTGATCCAGCAGCTACTAAACTAGTGTATGATTTTGTGAAACACCATGTACGTGGCAAGATGTTTGATTTTTAACATATTTATGCTTCAAACTAAGAAAACTGACTTTCGAATGTCTCCCTCACCAACAGAAGTTTGTCCAATAAAAGATATTACCTCACTCACTGTGACGTTCTGTACCTCGGGGGAACACCCAGCACCCCCATATTCATCCTTGTAAAATGATTGTGTGGTATCCAATGCAAAGTTTGTCATATGGGGGGTCTTCGGAAGGCTCATGATGCACTGAGCATTGTTGTTAAAGTAATGTTACAGTAATTTATGGGTTTTAATTTCATGTATATAGTTATGATGCTGAAAATGTGTCCTCATGGCTTAAGGTAAGCCCAGGAAAAAGCTCCCCAAGACCAGAGGGGCAGTTCACAGGAACAAAGGACATTGGCCTAGGCAACAGCAAAGGATCTGTCGGACTCTCGAGCGAGTCACCCCACTTCCTTTGGTCAGTTTGGGACTGCGATGAGGTAATGCTCACCTGACCCTGAAGGGGGGGCAAAGCCAAGAGGGAAGAAAGAACATGATACAAGGGAGAGACATTAGCCATGCTCTTCCTCTCTCTTCCACCTCCATCTACAGACATCACCACCAAGTGACTGAAGCACTGATCAAAGGGTGGAGCCTGGCTGAAGGGCAACCAGTCAGCCTGTGATAAGAAGCATCTAAGTTTGTAAGGGCACTGAAAGTGTTAAGATCAGCTTAGAATGCGTTTTGCTTTTCTTTCATTTGACCAAATCCAACTTGTTATACTTTGACTTATAATCACTTAAAATCTATCTTTATAGTTAAAAAATCTGTTTGTTTATTCTACCTGAAGCAGTGCATTTGGTTTGAAGTGTGTCAGAGATGCCTTTTGGGATGCCTTTTGTTACACTGACAAACTCACATAAGCTTGCAGCGTCCAGCGGGCACAACTGGACGCTGCAAGATGGAGGTTCCTAGGGTTGTGTCTGGGACTGGAGATATTGGCTAGTGTCATTCGGTTGCACAATCCAAGCAGTTTACATGCCAGAGACTGTGCGTGAACAGCCCAGGTGTGGGGGTTCTCACAGCAGAGCAGGGTAAGGCTGGCTCCCAGAGTCAAGAATCGGAGTGACCTAGCAGATCACTGGTCCAGATAACACCAGACGAACGTCACACCCACCTTGTCCAAGACTCTGGTACTCACATGACTACAACTACAATGCATATTTCAAATGCTGACATCCTGCATACACTCAGGCCAGATAGAAAAGGAGTACTTGTGGCACCTTAGAGACTAACCAATTTATTTGAGCATAAGCTTTCGTGAGCTACAGCTCACTTCACAATGAAGTGAGCTGTAGCTCACGAAAGCTTATGCTCAAATAAATTGGTTAGTCTCTAAGGTGCCACAAGTACTCCTTTTCTTTTTGCGAATACAGACTAACATGGCTGTTACTCTGAAACCTGTCATCAGGCCAGATAGTCAGCCCATCCACTGAGGGCACACAAAAGGGCCAAAAAATCTATTTATGATGCCTTCTGAGAGTTACCTCCATGTAATAGCGCTGGATGCTTAACTGACCCCCAAACTGAGGAGCTGTGAGATGGCATACAAACCTACTTTTGCCCCTGTATCTCTGGGCCAAGTGTAGCCTGGATGAACTATCACATCCAGCTCTTCAAAATCAAATTTAAACTGATTCCTGTACATTTTAAAGAGATTTTAAAAAGAACCTTTGTTAAAGGACCCATCTGCCTGTTCTGCCCCCAAAACTTAAATTTTAGGTAGGTAAATAAAACTTCATTCAGCATCTCTTTTATGATGCCTTTAATAGAGTTTAAAAAACAAAAACAGAAATATAAACTTTTCTGGGGTTAAGTATCAATCGTTTATCTGAAGAAGGAGTAACAGATAGGAAAGGTGGAAATATGTGCCAATCTTAGAACAAAGCAAAAACTGATATAACACTGTGAAAAAATATTAAATCTAGATCAACATTAAAGTTATACACACAGTATATACATCCAAAGAGAGATATTTCAAAATCACTTATTCCTAGTACATGATCTGAATGACATGAACTGAAAAGAATCACAAATTAATCAATAATCTGTGCGTCTGCTCCAGGCCTGCTGCCAAAAAAGATACAGAAAAGTATGGAAGTTTATCAGAATTACTGTATAATTTTGAATCACCTCAAATGGTTTACTGAACACTTTATGTCTGCCATTCTTTCATTTGGCAGCACAACTGCTCCAAACTTCTCCAGCAGCATTGGTTTGCTGGCATAGCTAGAGAAATCAAAGTTCTAAGTGCCAAACACTTGAATTTCATATTTTTACTGTGTGAAAGCCAAGATACTAAAAGAACAAATTTGTACCTCTCTGATTGAGGGCAGGTGTGAACACCTGAGGGTGTAATTCCCAGGTTGAGATGATATACCCACTCTGATTGAGGGCAGGTGTGAACACCTGAGGGTGTAATTCCCAGGTTGAGATGATATACCCACTCTGATTGAGACAGTGTGCTAAAATTAGAAGAGTAGCTGTGGCGGCATGAGGGCTCGCTGCTCCGAGTGTGCACCAGCATCTCTGATACTGCAGCTATACTTCTATTTTTTTAGTACCCTAGGCTGATCACAGCTAGCATGGGTATGTCTCACTGAGCTGGGAATTACATCCTGAGCTGGAAGGGTAAATATATGGTTAGAGTGATGAAAAAAAATTGGATAAAAAAAATGGTGTCAACGAAACTACCTTTTTAAACCCTCATTTCAGCTTAATTGAAAGTTTCCCCAGGTTTTCTTCCTTTTACTATTGCCAGCACCACTCAGAGAGCTAACTTTCAACCACTACCGCCCTCTATCCCTTGCTTCTTAGTTATGGGGTTCCCCATTCATTCAGTATTACTCAGCTGATTCTGGCTTGCTGGCACAATGGCCAGGAGCATTAACACCAAAAGTAAGAAGAGAAAAATGATGTCCTATTGTTTACAAGTTGTACAATACCCATCTCCTTCTTTGGTCACAAATACCCAAAAGTCACCGTCCATTTATTTGCACCACAAAAGGATTAGACAATTTCTTTGGGACTGAACAGTAGCACTTGATATTGTAAAGCAAACCTCCTTCCACCATTTTGAATTGAATGGAACATAAAAAGATGAAAGAACACTCTGGAAGTACCTGTTACCTGCTGATGGTTGTTAAGCCAGGCCACAGAAGAGGTGCCCTACCTTAAGGAAAGGGGTGCAGGGACTTAGAGCTGAGACCAGAGGATGAATAGACAAATAATCCCAAAAGAAGCAGAGAACTAAGCCCTACTGGGAGAAAGACTTGTTTGGTTTGTACTGGGACTTCGGACTCTGCTACCCTTAAAGGGGTTTGAACTTTTGGAGCGAGCTGGCCAGAGGGCTGAGTCACATAAACCTCCGAACTGGACTCTAAACTCTGTCAGGAAAACTGAGGCAGAGAAGCTACAGCACTGTGTTCTGCCACAAAAATGCACATGGGGCAGTGATGCAGTGACAGGGACTAATTCTCATTGGCACAAATGATAATCAGACCGTAGATTTTTAGTGAAGATATAAACGAGATAGAGAATAAATGTATTTCAATATATTTTACAAATAATATGTCCATTTTAATGGACCATGAGTGACGAACACAATATTTGGAGTCCCCCCAAAGCTTGAGAAGCTGTTGAAAGACAGGGTCCCTTCTTGGCCTGAAAGCTTAGGTACTGTAACTCTTTTTTGCTGGCTCAATAGTAAAATAAATCAAATAAAATTTTACCTTCTTTATACATTTTCCATCAAGGATCAATATAGCTACAAAGATTTTCTGCACATTTTCTGCATTTAAGCAGAGCATCCAAGATTTTCCTTATCACTCACACATAATAAAGTGCTGTTCCAAGCTCCATCACCTCTCCTCCACCCTCAAAAATTAACACATTTGCTACCACTACTGCTTTCAACAGGACTGAATTACGGCTTCTGTGGCTGCCTTATCAAATTCTCCTTCCAACTTTGCATACACTGAACACAACACTTACCCTTTGAAGCTCCCTGAAAATGTGAAGTCCATGTAAGTTTAGGTAAGCTGCTCATATTTGCAGCAGGCTCCACGCTGGAAGCTACAGTGGGTTTTGAAGGTGGTGGCACAAGGCTTGGTGTAGGATTAGAACTTTTATCACAATTTACCAGTGGCTGCTCAGGAGCTTTTGGGGAAGGCGGCTTAAGCAGTTCAGTTTGCATTTTCAAAATTTGTCCAAGAGGGTCAAATTCTTTAGACAGCCTTTTGAAAGGTTTTTTGGAAGCAATTTTCTTCTGGTCTGGGCTCTCTGAACAGTTAGCCAAGCTACTTGATGAAGTTTGTATTGGGAAGGGTGATTTAGGTATATCTGCTCCAGAGTCTGGATTAGAACTGAACACAGCTGCTTTGCAATATTCCACACTTTTACATTCTGTGTCAATAATCAAACGTTCTTCATCAGTATCACTATTGCAAAAAGAAATGGGAGTCTCATTTACTTCTGTAATTTCAGATTCTCTCTTGAAACTATCAGTTTTAGCCGAAGTATTTAACTTCGTACAACTGTCCAATACTTTGTTTGTGGCCGTACCATGTTGCTCATCATTTAACTCAACTTCATCTGAATCAAGGCCTTTAATGGAGGAATTTTCATCAGAATCAGCCCACATGACATCACCAATCGATGACGGTAGTTGTGTCTTGTTCACATTCTGCATATTACTACATGCTGAAAATCCCTGCTCGTTAACTTTGCTTGTTCCCTCTTCAGCACCATCTCTTACAATAGATACCAACTGTTCCTCTATTTTTAGCTTGTCTGACAGAGTTTTACATACGTTAGCAGGAGGATTTTCCGTTCTGGATGTCTTCAAGGGCTTACATGTTGCTCCAAAGGTCTCCAATTCTGTGACATCATTGTCAAAGTCTAGATCCCTGTGGTCCAGAGTCTGAGTCCTCCTTAATTGACAAGCATCAGGAGGCATCTTCATATAACAAAGAAAAATTAAATCAACAATAAAGTGCATCACAGCAAAGTAAAACAAACTGCTAAATCCAATGCAACAGAGATGCACAAAATGTAGTACCCACCAGACATTATTTTGAAGACGCAAAGAAAAATATTTCAGTAATTTACGTATAAAACACCTCTAAATCTAAGAGTCACAAGAGCCTTTCAAAATATGAATAAAGGGAAGAAACAATATGAAAACTGCCATCTACGTAAGTCACACAAACAAATATATTTAAAGAGGGCACACATCAGTAATCAGACTAGATTGGACAGAAGCATTTAAGAAAAGAGAGATGCATTCAAAAAAACCTCACTCCATAATTCAGTGATAATAATGGAGAGAACCTTGTTTCCCCCCCCAATATTACTGCAGAACACAAAGATCAAGGAAATAAGCTAGCATATTTTTGAAAAGACAGACAGCTACTTACGTCCCACTGAAACATCTTTTCCTCAAATGGATTGTCCATCAACACAGCAGAGACTGGAATAATTGAATTTTTGGAAGTCAGAGTGTCCAGCGGGATTTCATGAAAAATCTGGTTCTTCTCTCTCACAGTTATCTCTTTTTTTGGGAGTGGTGAGTCAATATAAATCACTTTGACTGGTTTGGCACCTTTTAAGAGAAGGACAGGGTTTACGTTTCCCATACTCTAAAGAAAAATCATTAGGTAATTTAAATATTAAACTTCGTTCCTCTGACTTGTATTCAAAACAATTTTACAGTCAAATTAAAAAGGGTGAAAAAAAATAATTCGTTTCTATTGCTTATTCGTTGGGGAACAAATACATCTAGGAGAAGTGAAATTTATCAGGTCCCCATGGCAGTAATATGCAATAGGTTGACAGCTTACTTCAGTTTCACATACTATTTAAAAGTGCAGTTCTATCCTGAAAAGTTAATTTGTAAAATTAGCATTTTGGGGTCTCATATTCATTATATCTCACCAATTCCCATATCAAGTATGTTCAGTTTGCAAATAAAAAAAGATATTTTCTCCAACTGCCAGCCTCACAAACTGATCCACGGCTCTGAGCGTCAAGCTTGGTTTTTTCCATTTCATGTCTCATTACCAGCAAGGAATGTTCAGCAACCTAAACTATATCCTTAGCCACAGTCAGTTGTGATGCCCTCCTATTTTTAGACTTTGTCTTAAGTGCAACATTCATATCATAGACAACTTAATCTGAAGACAATGGAGATACCCTTGAAAATGTAGTTAATTTTACGGGGGGGGGGGGGGATCAGTGAAATTAATCTTTACAAAATCATTTGAAGGTAAGACACACACTTTAAACAAAAAACGTATACTGAAGAGTTTGGTTATTTCAGAGAATAAGACCACCCTCTTGATAATATCACACATGATGGGAGCCCTTTAAGTGATAAAGTGTTAATTTAGCACTCTGCAGATTAAAGTGAAAACCATCAAATAGGTATGCATTGAGTCAATGCAGTTATAGATTAGACAGTTTGCAAATTTCATGTATTTGTATATGAAGCAAATATTTGTATTCACTTCTTCCAATCCCCTCTTGCCAACTCCCTCCCTGGTATGGAATTCCCATTATCACGGCTTGTTTACATGAACACTTATTTTACAGCAAGCTGGGGTGTGAATCTACCCTGCACCCAGCTCACTGCACACTAAAGCTACGTACACACTGCAGCTTAAGTCAGTATAAGTTATTCACATCCTTGAGAAACATAAGCGACGTTAAGTTATACTGACCTAAGTGCCAGGAGGAAACTTCTCCCGCTGACATAGTTCCTGCCCCTTGTGGGGGCTGGAGTAATTAAGTTGATGGCAGAGCTCTCTCCCTTCGGCTTAGGGTGTCTGCACTAGTAGTGCTACGGCGGCACAGCTACATCGGTACAGCCATGCCACTGAAAGCGCTGTAGTGTAGCCATAGCCTAAGCGTCCATGTGGCGCTGCCAGCAAAACATTCTGCAGTGCACTTTGATCTGTCCCACTTTGAAATGGGAGCAGATTAAAGCACACCAAAAAACTTTTAGTGCACAGCACCAGGGTCAACATGAACAGAATGCACAGTAGACTGCTGTGGGACAGGTTGACACCCCGGCTTACTGCGAGCTAAGTAAAAATTGGTTAGCAACTGTAATGGGAGGTGGGACAAAGTATTTCCCTACCCACCTAACTCCCAATTATTTGCCTTGGGTATTCAACAAATATTGAAGAAAATACTTTTTTTTTTTCATTCACACCAAATTTTGAGATTCCATATCACCATCAATTCACAATCCACTGACTCAAGACAACATTTTAACTTCTTTAACAAACTGGAGGAAACAAAGTGAAAAAATGGTCAGAAGGTAGTAGATACGTAAAAAAATTGGGAAGCCTATATTCAAACTTCTGCTAGGATTCATCTGCCAACAAAAAAATTTGTATTTGCATGACTTACTTGGTTTAGACTAGGGCTGTCGATTAATCGCGGTCAACTCAGGAGATTCACTCAAAAAAAATTAATCGCAATTATAAAATTAATCACGATTAATAGCAGTTTTGAAATTTATTAAACATTTTGGATGTTTTCTACATTTTCATTTATATTGTATTCTGTGTAATAATTGAAATCAAAGTGTATATTATTTTTGAGTATAAATATTTGCACTGTAAAATGATAAACAAAAAACAGTATTTTTCAATTCACCCCATACAAATACAAATACTGTAGTGCAATCTCTGTCGTGAAAGTGCAACTTACAAATGTAGATTTTTTTTTTGTTACGTAACTGCACTCAAAAACAAAACAATATAAAACTTCAAGAAGTCCACCAGTCCTACTTCTTGTTCAGCCCTCTTCTTATTTACAGTGTCATCAGAAAGTGAGAACAGGCATTTGCATGGCACTTTTGTAGCTGGCATTGCAAGGTATTTACGTGCCAGATATGCTAAACATTCGTATGAGCCTTCATGCTTCGACCACCATTCGAGAAGACATGCTTCCATGCTGATGACGCTCGTTAAAAAAAAAAATGTGTTAATTAAATTTGCGACTGAACTCCTTGGGGGAGAACTGTACATCCCCTGCTCTGTTTTACCTGCATTCTGCCATATATTTCATGTTATAGCAGTCTCGGATGATGACCCAGCACGTTGTTCATTTTAAGAACACTTTCACTGCAAATCTGACAAGATGCAAAGAAGATACCAAAATGAAATTTCTAAAGATAGCTACAGCATTCGACCCAAGGTTTAAGAATCTGAAGTGCCTTCCAAAACCTGAGAGGGATGAGGTGTGGACAATGCTTTCAGAAGTCTTAAAAGAGCAACACTCCGAGGCGGAAACTACAGAACCTGAACCACCAAAAAAGAAAAATCAACCTTCTTCTGGTGGTATCTGACTCAGATAATGAAAATGAACATGCATCGGTCGCACTGCTTTGGATTGTTATCGAGCAGAACCCGTCATCAGTGTGGACGCACGTCCTCTGGAATGGTGGGTGAAGCATCAAGGGACATATGAATCTTTAGTACATCTGGCACATAAATATCTTGCGACACCGGCTACAACAGTGCCATGAGAATGCTTGTTCTCACTTTCAGATGCCATTGTAAACAAGAAGTGGGCAGCATTATCTTTTGCAAATGTAAACAAACTTGTTTGTCTAAGACATTGGCTGAACAAGAAGTAGGAATGAGTGGACTTATAGGCTCTAAAATTTTATATTGTTTTCTACATTTGTAAGTTCAACTTTCATGATAAAGAGATTGCACTACAGTCCTTGTAGTAGGTGAATTGAAAAATACTGTTTCTTTTGATTTTTTACAGTGCAAATACTTGTATGCAAAAATAAATATAAACTGAGCACTGTACACTTTGTATTCTGTGTTGTAACTGAAATCAATATATTTGAAAATGTAGAAAACACCCACAAATATTTAAATAAATGGTATTCTATTATTGTTCAACAGCACGATTAAAATGTGATTACTTTTTTTAAAATTGCACGATTGAGACGCAATTACTTTTTTTTTTTTAAATCGCTTGACCACCTAGTTTAGACTAAACTACAAGTTTTTTGTGTTTTCTACTGGCAGGAGTTTCTTCTACTAACCTAACTTATTTATAGAACAGTACATTGTAACACTGGCCCTTTCAATTCCAGGAAGTTTTTACTAATTTGTTTTATGAAACTATAGGTGAATGTTTTTCTGAAGCTCTCTTATTATACAGTTAATTCTTCAATACCATCCCTACATTACTATAATTTATAAAATTTGCAAGGAACACATTTACTTACTTCACAAAGAGCACAGCTTACAATTTTAAAACACAAGGAGGGCATTTCACTGCAATAATGTGATATAAAATAGCGTGTCCAAACTCAATGTTAATTGCAATATCTCTAGAGATTGTTACTATTCTCAGTAACAAGGTAGGACAAGGTCTAAAAAACTATCAGTTTCTCTCCTTAAGAACAGAGAAGTAACTTCAGTAGCTGATTTTTTTAAAGTTTACTTTTTATGATAATTGCCATGAAACTGGACCTTTTTTCCTTTACAGAAAAAGAAATTTCCTTCTTGGCTCATTTCCAGATTATTATAGAAAACTGCCTCATGTTTTCCTTCAATGAATTTATGGAATAAATTAATAACTCCAGCTAAACTATATTAACTGAACGGATTTTTAACTGAAAAGCATAATAATATTGAGCAGAAAGGCCATGATACCTGCATCCTAGATGGCTGCTTCCTCCTGAAGCACCAAAATCACAGCTATAAAAATAGCTGAATTTTCATGCTCCCTGACTTTGTTTTTAAATGAAAGAAAAACCCAAACATGCAGATCATGGTACAACACTGAAATGTAATTCTGAGACAACTAATGGCTTTTATGGGATGGGATGGCATCTTTCAAATAATATCACAAGATTCTTCCCCCCACCCCCTTCTGCTTCATCAGAAGGAGTCTTGCTGTTCTTTGATATAGTTAATAGCTTTCACTTAACGGAATTATCTGAGATAGGTATTGGTGTATAGTGTTGCTACATTTGATATAGGTCACCATGACAGTAATAAATGTTATATAACTGAAATGAAATAATTCTGTTGTTGATGTGTGAACTAGATTAGAAACCAGCTTTGTCTCCCAGGGCCCCAGGGCTAACAGGTGGAAAAAAATATTTCAGTCAGAAAATAAGTACACAGTAAACACACTGGAGATATTAAGGTGTGCCATTTTTACAGTCAATTTGTTGACCATAACTGCACTTTTACAGTTGACAAAAATATATCAGATACACATTAAACCATATTCACTGAAGATGATATGAGGTGTTAAATCACATCCATGTTTTGTTTTATTTTTTAATCTGATTACAGTATGTCTGGGTATATTGATTAATCCATTTTAAGTCATTGGTTTTTGCTTTTCAAAATGATCAAACACACTGGAAACACACAATATCTGAGTCAAAAATTCAAAAATTCTCAAGTTTTGGAACATCATTTTTGTAGGTGTTCATTTGCAAGGAAGAGCAACATACATACTCTTGAGAAGAACAAATCCTGTAGACTTTCAAAAGTGACACTGAAATTATAGGTGTGCCACATGTATGAAGTAATCTTTTATTTTAAACCAGTGGTTCTCAACCTTTTTTTATTAGCAGACCCGTAAAAAATTTTTAATGAAGGTGGAAATCTTAGGCAGTCTGTGGACCCCCAAGGTCCGCAGACCACAGGCTGAAAACCAATGTTTTAAACACTGAGATTGGTCATGACAATAGGAACAATTGACTTGGGTTACTTCTAACAGAGTGAGTGTAATTGATTTAGGCCTAAACTTTTAAAGGTATTTAGGCATTTAGTGCACACATCATTGCAACACTTAACTGATTCAGGAGCCTCAAGGTATGACTACATTACAAAATTAAGTCAACCTAAGTTACGTTAACATACAGTCACCGCAGTAATTAAATTGCTTTTGCATGTCCACACTACGCTCCTTGTGTCAGTGATGTATGTGCTCACCAGCAGCGCTTGCACTGATTTAACTGTCAGCGTGGTGCATTGCGGGAAGGCTTCTGAAATGCAGCAGCAGTCGACATAAGCAACGCAGTATCTACACTGACACTGCATCAACCTAACTATAATTGACCTAAGCACTACACTTCTCACGAAGGTAGAGTTATTAAATCGTTGTAGTGGGTGAATTACATAGAAAGGAGCTACATTTTACTGTGGACGCTTACAGAGCTAGGTTGATATATGCTGCCTTACGTCAACCTAACTCTGTAGTATCAACCAGGGCTCAGTCTCATTTTCAAAAAAGATTTAAACACTTGGAAGCCAAAAAGTGCTTAAATCCTCTCTGAAATTGAGATTTAGGCTCCTAAATCAGTTAGAAAAGCTACTAGAAACTTCCAGAAAGACTGTTGTGAACGCCGAGTAATTTTCTATGGGCCGATCAAGTCTAAAAACCAGAGTAACCCAAAAAGGCCTAAGCTCATCCCTCTCTCTGCTTTTGTTGGTTTTATTTTGTGTTCATTTTTTCCCTTTGCTTTTCTTTATTTTCTGATGTCAGTCATGAATGCCATGCCTATAGACTTGAAGTCAAGGAATTTCTCAGATTTTACCAATGAACTCTAGGTGATAGACTTGGTTTTGCCTGAACATTCTGATGGCAGTGCCACTGGTTCCTGTCACCAGGAAAGAGGGGGAAACTACATCTAGCTATGAGATTGTGCCTCTAATCCACCCTTTCCAATCAGAGAATTTACATGGACCAGACTCTGTATGCCTAAGGAAAGAGCCATAACCCCACCATGAAACTGTCTAAAATGACTATCCCCATCTACCACCAGACCAGAAAAGGAGCACTATTTTCTTATTTTTCCCTTCTCTTGTCTTCTTTTTGTTGGTCGGTGTGTGTTTATGCAAACTGATTTGACAAAACTTAAAAAGCCTGAATGCTCTATCTGAAACACAATTACCATTCCCTCATTAAGAAACAAAGCTGGTTTTGTAACTTGTAAATGTTTCCTGCACACTTAGATTAATTAAGTGGAAGGGTTAACGTGTAGTATGATTACTGAGAAGTTAGATCTCAGACCATTAAAAAGAATCCTAAGCTACAAGATAGCGGTGCGGTGCAAAAGAAACACCTAAGTAATCTTATAACAATGAAAACAGAAGCACATATTTGGCTAATAATTCATAGTGTTACAGGGAATCAATGTATAAGCATAAGTATGCATATGTAGGGAAAGACTATTTGGACAATTAGGATTTTGAAATTCTCTTCTCTGTGTACCTCTGGAAAGGTGACTATAAAAACCACAAACCCCGTGAACAAAACATACTGTACCTGCAACAGGGATCATTTTAACAGAAACTGGTATTTCCCACTGTTCCTTGTAGTTTAGTCCATGATTATTCAACAAAGTAAATAATGACTGACTATTTAAAACTACTTGTGGACAATATTTTAAAGCAAGCTTTTCAGCATTTGGATCCAAACTAATGTCCTAAAACAAATTAATAAAAAAAAAGAAATGAACAATGACATTTTAAACATTAACAAGCAAAAACAAGTTAATTAAAATATCCAGTTTTTTTTAAGATTACTGAATAAAAAATATTTGAAAACAAATATTCAAACACAACATTAACGTTCGAGTTCAGAATCAAAGAAACTTTAAGGCAAGACCCTAGAAGTGTTCTCTGCATCCTATACATACATATTGTAGCACAAAAAATTACCAGGAAAAAAGGGAACAAAGAAAAGCAATAAACAGCTGCATGACACTTAAAACAAAACAACACCCCCCACATCTCTCTCTCTCACACACACAGTTAGTACTTTGAGTCAGATAAATCACAAATACAAGCATATAACACAACACACTGAAGAGTCAATTTCAACTAATGGAGCATCACTCTTCTTGTTCATTAGAATATCATAGGATTCTCTTGTATCCTTGACATTTAGAAGATGTCATCACCTTATGGGCCCAGAAATAGCATTAGCAGTTCCAACACAAAAAAAAATTATGGTGAAGTTAAATATGCAGGCACACATCAGTGATCTGAGTAAATATTACCTTTCAAGAATGTTAAACACAAAATCCAAATATGATAAACGCAAGAAATGCAGAATTAAGATTATGAAACTTGCCATGAATTATGCTTGTGCGTCTACACAAGCATGAGGATATTGTAATTGGAGGCATGGGGTGATGAGATGATGAGAGCTGGAATGATCAGAATTGGCAATGTGGGGAACTCAAGAGCAGTTCAGGACAGTACAAAAATGTGAGGAAGGAGGAACCACTAGCTATTTCTTCCTTTCTTTCAAGGTTCTTGCCAGTGAACTATATGTAGTTCACAGCAGCAGGACTACCCTTTGATGAACCATGGGACATGTTAATGGTTTCATCCTGACTTCTCTTGCAACTCAGACATTTCCAAGCCCCAACCCTCCAAAATCTCTGTGTCTCTTGAATGGTCAATGCATAACTTATGAACATAGCTCCTATATTAGTGTACAACAAGTTATGTAGAATACATATTTTTTTTAAAAAAGCCACATCACATGGCATTTGTGATAGGAGACAACTGCTTCTTATCACTTTATGTAAGGATACTAGTAATAATTTAAGATATCTTTTCAGGAAATAATCTAGCATATAGCCTAATAAACTATTTAACTCAAACACGGAGTTCACATTCTGTGACAAATAAATTCCATAAGGAGGAAAAAAAAATCCTTTGTAAACTAATTTTTTTGTATAATCAAACTCTTTTCAATACATATATATTGATATTTTAATTAAAAAAAAGATAATTTTAAAATGAATACAAAACTAGATCCTTAACCAGAGTACTTGTAAACAATAGCTCTATCTAAATTCATTAGAGGTTACAGATAGCTGGCATGTCACATTCTAAGGGCCTCATCCAACGTCTATTGAAGTGAACGGAATTTACTGCAGTGAGCATCGGATCAGACTGTTAGTGCTATTTCAAACTTTAAAAATGGGAGGATGATTGTTGTAACAGAAACGCTACATTGATCATACACCACTAAAAAGAATGATGTGAATTACATTATTACATACATTATAACAACAATAGTTACTCACATCATGCATAGCAGAAGCTCTCTGTTCTGGAGTTGCAACAGATGCTACAGTTTTATAATCTACGGATAGCTGTAGTTGCGTATGCATGGCAGGTGACAATATTTTAAGAAATCTTGCCTTTCCCTTGAATAAAATAAAGCAGCATCAGACATTTATTGGCATCAGTGTTGGCATTTTGATTGTTTATATAAATTCCCTCTAAAAATGTAAGATTCTCATATTTGAAAAATATTCATACAGAACGGTTACCTTCCAGTCTCCAAAATAATTTAGTTATTACCAAAGCAATGCAAGTTGCTATATAGTCCAAGCATGGAAGAATGATCTCAATCAATGTAGCATTACATAATGTAATGCATGTTTAATTCAGGTTATCAGAAAATAATATCTGAACTTAGAGAGAGAGAGAGAGAGAGAGAGAGAGAGATGTTACCAATGCAAGTAGTTTTTTCTCCAGCTTTAAGGTCAACTCTGTGCTAAATTTGCCTCCCATGATACTGGTGATTTCATGGAGAATGTAGAATTCAGGGTACTTCTTCACATGTCCAATACAAGCACGTAAAAATTGCTAAAGGGGGAAAAAAACAAAAAAGGATGTTACAAAGCCTATGTATCAATACCATAACAGTTTCATAAAAATTAGAATGCTGCTGCAAAAGTTACATCTGCCTGTATTTTCAGCTATGAGAAAGAATGCATATTTCATCCATTTCTGTGAATAGATTTGTTAAAAATATTTCTTTATTCTTCTTTAGAATTCAGTTTAACAGTTTGTGACAAGAGGAAAAAGGAAAAATTGAGGTTGGTAGAAGGCTGCTTCTTGTTTGTTTTAAAAGCACTGCCCCAAAAAGGAGGTGGGGAGGGATAGCTCAGTGGTTTGAGCATTGGCCTGCTAAACCCAGGGTTATGAATTCAATCCTTGAGGGTGCCACTTAGGGATCTGGGGCAAAAATTGGGGATTGGTCCTGCTTTGAGGAGGGGATTGGACTAGATGACCTCCTGAGGTTCCTTCCAACCCTGATATTCGATGAACTTCTATGAACTCTATGAGGTGTGTAGGCGCTCATATAACACTGTGATGGAGGAAGAGATAGGAACCTAGAGAGACAAAGGGAATATCTTGTGGTTAAGAGACAGGAATGGAAGTCACAAGATGTAGATTCTATTCTTGGATCTGGCACTGAGTCCCTGTGTGATCCTTGGCAAATCACTGAGTCCAGATTTTTAAAAATTGGTCTTCAAAAATATCCACAAATTGTGGGCACAAACGCAATTAAGGTCTTGGAAGCCTAAGTATTTGATTTTCCCAAAAATCAGGTACTGAAACTACTAAATAACCTTAACTGCACTTACCCATTTGCAGCTACAAAAACAGGAGTTTGTATAAGGACCACATTTTCAGGCTGGTCTTAGATTTCTGAGGCCTCAGTTTCTTCAACTGTAAAATGCGCGAGACTACATCATTAATCCCCTAATTTTTCCAGAGCTCTGAGTTCTTTATAAAGGTAGCAGAAAATAAGATGCTACCAGATAATGGGACATGATTCTCTGCATGGGGTGTGTGTGAAAAAGGCTTTGCGGTTGCTGAAAGTAGATAATTAAGCCATTATAATTATAAAAGGTGGAAACATGCCAAACTTGGAAAAATTACATTCTGAAGGAACTAGGAAGGGAATATGAAAGCTTTTGGCTAAGTTATACATTGGTTTTAAGACTGGAGGCAGTATTAAAAGAACTAATTTAGTTTTCCATATTTAGGAAGGTATCAAGGGAGGATAGAGAAAAATTAAACATCTGCAGGCCTTGTTCCCAAGGGAAAAGATATTGGAAACAATGATAAAGAATTAAAACATCTATAAGTGTGAAAAGTATTAAAAGCAGAGCTCAGTATGGGTTTATTTAAGAAAGGATTGTCTAGATCAGTACTCTGAACAATCTAACTAAATTAATCAATTGCCAGAAGAGAAGAGAAGAAAGTATATTCTGTAATTTATCATAAAAGCATTTGGTACTTTACCACGTTATGTATTACTCTGATCCAGAAAGCTTGGAAGTATTATAGAACCAAGACTACTGGTACGGATGAAATGTTGTTTTAGGGAAATGAAACCAGTCTTGATAAGAAAAAACAGTATGGGGTGGACAAACGTATTCAGATATAATTTGTATTGTGGTAGCACCTACATGCTCCAGTCCTGTACCAGGGCCTCAGAATGCGAGGCATTGTACAAACACAAAACAAAGAAGTATAGGATACAAATGTGCTTAATGGGTTTTTATTTTTGGTTGTTTTTTTTTTGCTGTTGTTTTTCCACTGCATAAAATACCATGAGTTTATCATTTTGAAAGTGGCTAAAAGTTCCTATGATCTTGTTTTGGGGGTTCTGCAGAGGATGAGGAAGGAATAAACAAAATCAGGGAAACAGATTACGGTGCTCTTCCTATCTCCCACACTTTCCCCCCCAAATTTTAAAAGCCTTTAAAAAAAATAAATCTGTGTCTTTTTTTTCTTCTTCAAGAAGCCAGCTAAGTCATCTGTGACCGTGGTATTTGAGATCCATAGGTAACGTTTGTTGTTCTGCTGTACTGGAATTAGCACAGAGAGGGAAAAGCTCTCAGAAAACTTTTGGAGTTTTATGTAGAACGCAAATAAATACTTATTACTACTAATACATTAAGTCTATGGAGCTGTAATGATCACTGTTAATACAGTATATGAAGGCATAAGGAGTACTTAAAAATAAGATTTTTATTCAGATACCAATCTGTAAATACATGTTTCGGCCAATCAGTTTGCATTGAACTAGTTAAGTCTTTCTCTCAGCAAATAAGCAACTTTCTTTGGAGGCTCAGCCTTCTAGTTGGACTCTGAAACACCCTTAATAATTCCTTTTTCATGGTATCTATTTTATGTAGGCTTCAGGTGAAGGATGCAAGGGTAAAGAGGAAGGGAATGTCCCCTGTGGAAACACATTCATTTGCATGTGAACCCTGCACGCGGAAACAAATTACACTAATTTCACATCACGTACTCATGGACTTTAGTAATTCATTACTTGCACCAACTAAAAATTATTCCATTCTCTGTCCACAATTGCTGCTTCAAAGATGACTGGAGTCAAGTAATTTTGTTAAATATAAATCACAGACTAGAGGACATGGAGGAATGAGGCCACATTTTGTGACCAGATGTAGGGTCCTCTGTTTAAAAAAAAAAAATGGACACAAACTGCAACAATAGACAATATATAACAAGGGTAGAGAACAAATTAAGACTAATCTCAATTTTAAACAAATCTATGTTTTTATTCCTTATTGTTTCTTTTCTGAAACAACACTAAAGCTATAATGTAGAACAGGATTCTAATAATTGTGTCTACCCAAACTATTTCTCAACTACAGAACAAATCTGTCTTGTGTACGAGAAACTGCAAAGCAAGAAAATGTTAAGGTGAAATAAGGTCAGCCTTATTACCAAATTTAGCTGAAGTAACTACTCACTAAGAAATATTGTAATTATTATGATGTGTGGACTGAGACAGTGCTCTGTGCTATAAGACAGAAAGTAACACATTTTCCATCTGGAAGAGTTTACCATTCTAACACAATAATAGACTATTTCACGTCAAGGTAAATCACTACTAGAAATATACACAATTATCAAAATGTTTTATTTTATTAGTACTTTCTCCACTTCATCTCTAACAAATAAAAAAACTTCTAATTAAAATTTATATTTGCCAACTTCATATTCAGGGTCCCCCACATGTCTGCTCCCATTGCAAATTAGTACAGGAATAAGGCAGAAATTCAGATCTTGCCATTCATATTCTTATGATGCTCTTATTTTTGCCATTCACTATTTAACAGTTTTAAAGGAATATGTACCACTGTAACAGAAAATATTTGGGACCTAACAGAGAGCTGCCTTCACCCTACTTCACTATGACATATGACATCAGATAGATAACACTGCCTTCACTTTTCTATGATAGTGATTTCGAGTGAGTCATAGCAAAGTCTTATCTCATACTGAGGGAATTCTGTGCCAAAAATTAAAATTATATGCACATTTTAAAATTCTGCAAATTTTAATTGTCAATAAATAAATGTGGCTCCAGCCTGGCAGTGGGGAGCACTGGCCACTGGCTGCATTAAGGTGGGAGATCACCCTGAAGCTCCCACCTGCCGCAGTACAGGGACTCGGCAGTGAGGCTGCACCTGACCCTGACACAGTGCAAGGGCTGGGCTTGCCCCAGAAACAACCTGGGGCCTTGCCCCACTGTGCAAGGCACACCAGGTATGGCTTGGCAGGCTCAGCCCAACAGGATCCAAGTATGGAGGGGCTTAGTGTGGGGGGATCCAGGTGTGGAGTGAGAGGTTTCTGTGGTGGGGCAATCTGGGTGCGGGAGGCTCAGTGGGAGATCTGAATACACAGGGGCTCGTTGGGGGGTTCCGGGTGCAGGGGCAATGGGTTTCTGCAGGTGGTTGGGGCTCAGCATGGGGGTCTGGGTTGTGGGAGATGGGGTTTGGGAGGGGGGAGGTTTAGTGGAGGCAGTCCAGTGCTGGGGGGTGGGGCTTGATGGGGTTGGGGTCTAGGTGCAGCTGGCTGGGGCTCAGTGGGATGGGGATTGGGTGTGGGGGGCTTGTCAGAGGGGTCCAGGTGTAGGGAGGTAGGGCTTGTCAAGGTGATGGTTCGATGGGCCTACCTAACGGGGGAGCCCCAGCTGCTGTCGAAGAGACACTGCATGCTTCACTGATGACAAACTACATTTCTTTATTTATATTCAATTACCTCAGTTTACTGAATTTATACTCTGCACATCTGCTCATCCCTGGCTAGTATGTTATTTCCCCCCCCAATATTTTCATCTATTTATTCAATGAATGAATGAATGCACAAACATTTCTGTTACCTCAGTATAAAGCAGTGCATCCTCAGAGATGGTATCATAATCCTGAACGCAACTCTTGGCTGCATTTTGTGCAAACTTCAAAAATTCTGCAATTTCACTGTTCAGAAATTCTTTCATTTGCTGAAACAAGAAAGAAGACAAAAAAAGAGAGTCAAATTTTGAAGATAGCAAGAAAAAACAAAAAATAACCCCCCCATAACTTAACTGTAATTGTAAAGGTAAACCCTTATTGCATATTTACAAAGCATCCAGTAGCTTATTTAAATCACACAAGAAGTGACATGTCTAGAAAGGCAATGCAGCTATCTTGGTGAAGAACTGAAGACATTATGGCCCAGATCTCACTAGATATTCTACACTGCTAGATCTTGGTACACCTCCACTGAAGTCAATACAAAAGAATATTACAGAATGGGAGCCTATTTCCTTAAGAAAAGAAGCTTCCTTCCTGCAACAAATATTAGTTTAACCAAGGAGCATGATGCACAGGCATTGTCAGAGAAAGTTGACACGAGCCCTGTCTACATTAGCACTTACAATGCTACTAACAATAGCACGCTAGCCCTGTTGCTGAAAAAAAATGGGTACTAATTTTTCTAGTGTAGATATATCCATTGTCACAACATAAGAGAATGGAATTGCCATAAATAAAGAACCACAAGACCATCAATGTAATGGAGCAACAGCCCCAGCCAATCAATCAGTTAATGCCACTTACAAGATTCATATCTAATGATGCACCCAGGGCTTTGGAGCTGTGCTCCGGCTCTGCTCCAGCTCCAGGCAAAAACCTGCAGCTCCACTGCTCCGGAGCTGCTCCGCACTCCAGCTCCGGGCTCCGCTCCAAAGCTCTGGATGCATCCAGCCAGCATGGGAAAGAAATACAGTAGCTCATTGTCTAGAACATTTTTGCTCAGAATAACTAAAAGAGTGAATATTTGTGCATTTCTACTCCAGTGAGTAGACTACTTGCTATAGCAAGTACTGAAGGTCAACATGAAGGTTTCCAATGGTGTTAATGAGTTAGTCTTGTATTACGGGATGCAGCCTAAGATATAATCAGCATATAGAATCATAGAAATGTGGGCTTGGAAGGAACCTTGAGAGGCAGGATCAAGTACACCTAGACCACTGCAGCAGTGTCTCTAACCTGAAAAACCCCCAATGATGGGAATTCCACAACCTCCCACAGAAGTGCTTACCTATCTTTATAGTTAGAATGTTTTTTTCTGATATCAAATCTAAATATCCCTTGCTACAGACTAAACCCATAATTTCTTGTCCTACCAGTGGACATGGAGAACAATTGATCACCATCCTCTTTATAACAGTCCTTAACATATTTGAAGACCTACCAGGTCTGGAGCCAGGCTGGAGCTCCTTTGTGTCCTCCCCCTAGACCTCTGCCAGCATTGCTCTGCCCGAGGTCCTGCAGCTCTCTCAGCCAGACAGACAGAGCATCCACTCTCCTCCAGCTCTAACAGGGAACTATCTTGCTCTGGCCCTGCAGCTCTTCTTATACTAGCCTGCTGGGCCCTGATTAGCTGCTTCCCACACAGCTGCTGTAGACAGCTTGAGGGACCTCTCTACTATCCTTTTCTGGGGCAGGATGTGGCAGGGCCTCCACCACCTGCCACAGAAGGACAGAGCCGTCATGATGCATCTAACTTCTAATACAGTTAAAACATTTGTCCATGACATTATGAAATTCTACATGTGTGTCCTCCACTTACTACTTATTTTGTGGTCAATTCATCACTTTCATTTCTCCAATAACTACCATCATAGCAACTGACTTAAGGACAGGAAAGCCAGGAGGCATCAAGACAACTATTCAACTATGTTTTTAGAGTAACATGACATCAACTATCCTAAAAAAGCCTCAGTAAAACAACAATGTACATTTTTAGTTATCTTTAAAAAAAAATCAAATTTCATTGTTGGGGAGATAAAACATGTCGGAAATTGGAAATGTTTAAGGACTTATAATTATTACAATCACATTTTTATCAAATGACTTTTAGAAAATTTCCCTTGGATTATTACAGCAAGGAATATTAGGAGAAAAACAATTTTAACACTTACCAAATACTGGGAATATTCTCTTTGATATGTTGCAGTAAATTGGTAGGATGCAGGGTTTTTTGAAAACTTAGTCATTAGATATAAATATGTTTTCTGCTCCTTCTCAGTTAGACTAGAGACATAAGGATACGGGATTCTGGGCTCTGGAAAAGGATTATCATCAGCTGTGGGTTTAACTTCCTCCTCAGCTTGAGCTGCAGCCTGTGTGTTAAATGTTTTTGCATCTTCTACAGAGTTTATTGATGCCTCTACATTTTCTTCTTTATGTCTGAAAGAAAAGTAATAAGTGAAACAATTTACACTTTTCACATGAAGACTTGTATTTGAGAAAACTGATGCTGACAGTCATGGAAGACCTTAAGATTTCCAATCATTGGACAAAATACATCATAATTAAGGCTAAGTTTTATTCACAGGTACTTTTACTAAAAGTCAAGGACAGGTCCCAGGCAGTAAACAAAAATTCATGGCCCCTGACCTGTCCATGACTGTTACTAAAAATACCTGTGAATAAAACTTGTGGGGGGATGGTGCCCGGGGGCCCTGCGGGTGCTGGGGGAAGGCAGCCTGGCTGCGTGGAGGGGGAAGAGGGGGACGGGCAGTGGCTTGCAGCCTGGGATCCCTGCTGGTGCTGGTGGGGCTGGCAGGCTCCCTACCCAGCTCTGCACCACCCCCAGCAGCAGAGTTTGGGTGTGGGAGGGCACGGAGGGTTGGGGCATGGGACGGGCTCTGGGCAGCACCTACCTGGGGGGCTCCGGGAACCACGGCCAATGGGAGCTGTGGGAGTGGTGCCTGCAGGTGGAGCTGCCTTGCCACACCTCTGCTTAGCAGCTGAGCATGGGGGATGTCGCCACTTCTGGGGAGATCCCCAGGTAAGTACCACCCAGAGCCCGCCTCACCCCGTCCCACGCCCCAACCTCCTGCCCCCTCCCACACCCAAACATTGTTGCTGGGGTGGGGGGTGTGCGGTGGCCCGGGGCTGACCTAGCAGCGACCAGCGTACCTGGCGCAGAGGCTGCCTGAGCTTCCCCTGGGCCAGGCACACTGGCCGCTGCAGAAGACATGGAGGTCCAAGAATCCTGACTTCCATAACCTCCATGACAAACTTGCAATCTTAATCATAATTAATAGAACAATGGTGTTATAACACCATTCCCCCATCTATATTTAGACACATCTAAATTTAGTCATATCCTAGGACTGATGAGAGTTTCACCACTGACTTCAAAAGAAGAAAAATGTGGTAATTATTTGTACTGGATCAACTCCACTTTTCCAGGAGACATCACATATAATAACTTGTTACACTGGATATCTAGATGAGAGAGCCAATCACAAAACACAGGTCCTCTTTGTTCTGGAAATGTCTTCACTATGGATGAGGCCTCATTTCCTCATCTGCTGTCTGCTACTTATGTATACAATGTTGTAGCCACGTTGGTCCCAGGTATTACAGACACAAAATGGGTAAGGTAATATCATTTATTGGACCAACTGCTGTTACTCAGAGAGACAAGCTCTCTAGCTTAGGTCATGTCTATACTACAAAATTATGTTGAATTAACTTACATCAGCACACAGCCACCACAGCTACTAAACTCTTGTGTTTTTGTAAGCTTAACTCCTTGTGTTGACAGTACAGTTGATAGAAATGCTCTTGGCGAGGATGCACACTGCCATTGTTGGGCATTGTGGGACAACTCCTGAAAGCCAGTAACAGTCGATGTAACTCAGTAACTCAGCGTCTACACTGACACTGCATCAACCTCATTACATCGACTGACTCTACAGGCTTGTCTATGCTGGCAAGTTTTGTCGCCCAAAATTTCCACACCTGCGAGAGACTTTTGTCTTTTCCCCTCCCTTTATTGTCAACAAACAGCCAGTGTACATACAACGCCTCCCCCCGCCCCCAATTTTATTGGCCTCCAGAAAGTGTCCGACAATTCCCATGCTGCCGCTCTGGTCAGCAGTTTGAACTCCGCTGCCCTGCAGCCGCCAACCCACCCCTCCCCCTTGCAAGCCCTGAGAATTTTAAATATAATTTCCTCCTTGGTGGCTTCCCAAGTAAGCATGGCTTGCCATTCCACCAACCGCACTCCTGCTTGGACCACTGGTAAGCTGTTGGATCTGATCGGTATATGGGGAAAGGAGTCTGTTCAGTCGCAACTGCAAATGACCCACAGAAATCGGGACACATATGGGCAAATTTCTTGAGGCTTTTCTCGAAAAGGGCTATGATCAGGACATGCAGCAGTGCAGAGTGAAGATAAAGGAGCTGAGGCAGGCGTACCATAAGGGGCGGGAGGCGAACCATTGCTCTGGTGGTGCACCTAAGACCTGCTGCTTCTATAAGGAGCTGAATGCTATCCTCAGTGGTGACCCCATCTCCATCGCCGATAGCCCCGTGGATACTGCGGAGGCAGCAGAAAGAGGAGGTAACCTGAACGCTGAAATTCTGGATGAAGAAGTGGAGCTAGAAGAGGATGTGGAGCTCCCAGCAGGGTCACCCAGTGGGGCAGGCAGCCAGGAACTTTTCTCCACTCCAGAAGTGCTCTACGGGGAGCAGGAAGCAGATGAGACGCCAGGTAAGTTGCTGTGGTTTGTGTAGGAAATCAAAAAGTGGGAGGCAGGTAATGTTTTGTGTGAGCTGGACATTGCCATGTGTAGCTAATCTGCACGGCCAAGCAGGGTGTCGATGGACATCGAGACCTGCAGGGAATCCTTCAGAGAGAGGCTCTGGAAAGTTTCCAAGTGGTACTTGTTAATCCTCTGCCACAGATTCCCAGGGATTGCAGCCTTGTTAGTTCCTCCATTGTAGGAAACTGTACCATGCCATTTAGCAATCACTGGAGCTAGAACCAAAGCGGCACATAGCTGAGCTGCATATAGACCCGGGTGAAAGCCGCAAGCATACATTAGTTGTGCCCTGGTTTCCCTGCTCACCCACATCAGTGAGGTGTCAGCAAGCAGGTTGGCTGCCTGTGAAAAAGTGTGAGATAATTTTAGAATGAGTTCCCTGAAAAGCTGCCATGCAAGCAGTGACTGTTTTGTCCGGACGCACAACCGCCTTCCCTCCACTCCCGACACTCACCATGATTAGGATGCTCACAGAGCTGTGTGCCTGCCTAGAGTCAGTGAGAAAGTGATTGCTACTACTCGCAAAAGGCCCCACCCCCCTCTATGCCCACACATTCCTTTTCACTTCATAGCACTCCTGAGTTTCCCCATCACTCCATCCGCTTGCAGAATGATAGCTGGAGCTACACACAGTTGTGAGGTTTTACCCTTTTTACCAGTAAATAAAGGTACAGAGTTTTTACTCTGTGTTCTACAAAAGCATATAGCAATCAATTCACTCTTGGGAACAGGCTTCTAAAGCATTTTGTTGCATGAATCTTGGGCCCCAAAATTGTATGTGGATGCACCAGGGAAGCAACTCCAAAGCAGACGTGTTAGTCCCCCTCATTGTCAAAGTGGTCCCTCAAAGCCTCTCTGATGTTAATAGCAGCCCTCTGGGCTCCTCTGACAGCCCTATCATCTGGCTGTTCAAACTGTGCAGCCAAGCACTCTGCCTCAATGCTCCACATCTGAGCAAACATTTCACCCTTAGATTCACACAGATTATGCAAAGTGCAGCACGAGGCTATGACCATGGGAATATTATCCTCGGTAAGGTCTAGCCTGCCATTGAGACACCACCAGCAAGCTTTCAAACGGCCAAAGGCACATTCAACTACCATGCGGCATCTGCTCAGCCTGTTGTTAAAACACTCCTTGCGCCACACTCCATTTCTGCCTTCCCACATCTGGTGACAGATGGTATCATCAGGCACTGTGGGATGCATACTGTTGACAATGGTGCCCTGAATGTGGACATGATCTGTCAACAGGGAGCAAATGTAAACTCACTTTGGCGACTTTGCTTTTGTCGATTTTTTTATGTCAATGTTAGTCTCATCGACAAAACCTGCCAGTATTGACAAGCCCTACTTTGCTTCGGGAAGTGGTGTTATGTCGACGCAGAGAGGCACTTATGTCAGCAGGACCCAAATTTAAGTGAAGACACTTCCACAGTTAGGTTGATGCAAGGCAGCTTACATTGCCCTTACCATGGAGTAGTGTAGACCAGGCCTTACACAGAGCTCTTCTTCAGGTTTGGGAAACATACTCGCAGTGTCACAGCTAAATACACAGCGGCACAGATTCTTTACCATAAGTAATTAACAAATTTCAAAGGACCATTCAAAGTGAAGTGGCCCATTAAAATCTCTCTAGTCATAGGAGGGAAAAAAAAGCTGAAAGGATGGGGGATTAGTAGGTTATAGATTGTTGTTATAAGCCTTAAATCCTGTGTCTCTATTCACTCCATGATTATTAGTGTCTAGAAACATTATGAATTTAAGCCCCCAGGTTTGTCTTTTAAGGTGTTGTGCAGGCTGCCTTTGAGGATGCAAACTGACAGATCAGCTTTAGAGTGATCACTTTGTGAAAAGCATTCACCCACAGGTAATATGATGTTTTTGTCTTTTATCGTTTTTCTGCATGAGTTCATTTGAGAGTGTGGTGATTGTCTTGTTTCACCCACATAACTGTTATTGGAACACTTAGTGCACTGAATGAGGTACACCACATATTATAGGCATAGACCCATGGATATTGAAAGGTGTGTTGTGAGGGGTGCTGATTATCTAGAGTAGTAATACTCAGACCAAGGCTCAGGAGCTGCAAGTGGCTCTTTAATGTGTCTCCTGTGGCTCTTTGCAGGAGATGATATTAAAACACTGTGATTTAATTAACAACCAATCTAAGTTATTAACCAGTCAGGATACTTTTATTACATTATTAACCAATTGTAGAATACTTTGTCAGTCATTTTGCTGTGAGAATTATAGATATAACGGTGAATGAAACAATGAATTCACACTACTGTGGCTCTTTTGGGTAATATTGACCGCTAATTTGGCTCCTGAACCACAGAGGTCGGAGTACCATTGGTCTACATTTTGCATCTGTTGTTCTGGCAGGTTCGGACACCACTTTGAGTCTGTTACTTATGTTTGTTAAACTGCGTGTCAACAACTTATAATCAACTAGGCCTCACTTACTCCTGAACCAAAGTTATGATAGCAAATGAGAAGTACTCGACACTGAAGCCTCTTTTAAAATGGAAGACATATGGCTTTAACAGCAGGGAAGTCCAGATTTCAGAGAAGATTTTTCCCAATAATGAAGCACACTATTCAGAGCTCCATTTATAATACTAAACAGTACTGGAATCAGTTGTTAAAGCAAGATAACACTGGCTGGACACGACAAGGAGGAGAGGCATGGAGGAGGAAATGGTCCTAGCAACAGGAAGCAAGGTATGTAATAAGATTGGTTCTTAAAACAACTTCAGTATAAGAAGGCTTACTGAGCCCTTATATATTTACAATACCTATGCTTAAAAATGAGCATATTTAGGTTAACAAAATGAACATTAACTGCTGATCTTGGAAAAAACATATTTTAGAGATTTGATTTCAGCACTAAAAAATGTCACAAGAGCTATTCGTACCTAACAGTATCACGTCTGCAACTCTTAATAATACTTCACAGCTGTCTCACTGAATATAAGAATATGTCCATCCTTGTGGCACAAACTGGCAAATATAATTAAGCTGCAGCAGCGACAAGATGCTGACTCAGATTTGCCAATGTAGGAATGTCAAAAAATTCTAGCAGTTTAAATTGGCTATATTCAGCACAGTATTAAATGGCAACACATCAAGATTATTTCACTGTGCAATGCTGTCAAAATCTTCATCAGGGTGCATACCAAAATAATCCAACAGGGCCTTTCCATTCATATTTGCAGTTTTACTTTATTTGAGCTGACGGTTTAAAAATTTGCCCTTCATTTTATGCAATCCACCCTCTTCTTAGCTACAGCTTCCATGGAGAGGGAATAGAAGCGTGGCATCTCAGTTAAATATTATCAGGGGTCCCTATATAGAGATTCACAAATTCCTGGAGTATTTGGAAAAGAACAGAATATTTCCCATTTGGAATGAGTTATTTCTCCAAAGTCCAAACTCCCCTGATCACAGCAATTCAGTAAGTCTCATCTCTGCCTCATCCTCTAATACCTCTCCACACACTCCTTCCTCCACCCCACAGCACCAAAATTGTCTTGGTAGTCATTTTAATAAAATTAAAAATTGAATTTAAGCAAAAAAGAAATTAGGGAACCGCCTGTCTCAAAAGAGCTAACTGCATACAGAGTACCGTATACAGTCATTCATTAGCCCGTTCATTTATAAGCTGACCCCCCAAGATGGATAGGTAAAAATGGGGAAAAAATGGTATGACCTTCTCATAAGCCGACCGTGTATTTCAGGGGTTGGCAAACTTTGGCTCCCGGCCCATAAGAGTAAGCTGCTAGCGGGCCTGGACATTTTGTTTATCTGGAGCCCCTCAGCTCCCAGTGGCCGTGGTTCACCATTCCCAAACAATGGGAACTGCGGGAAGTGGCGGCCAGCACGTCCCTTGGCCTGCGCCGCTTCCTGCAGCTCCCATTGGCTGGAAACGGCAAACTGTAGCTGAGGGGCTCCATGCCTGTGGACACTCCAGGTAAACAGAATGTCCCAACCTGCCAGCAGCTTACCCTGACAGGCTGGGAGCCAAAGTTTGCTGACCCCTGCTATATTTAAAAAGCTGGCATCACAAGAAACACTCAAAAGTTTTGCTAGAATTATTTTAATGTAATCTAACGAAAAACCTGCTGTTATAATAACTGAAAAAATATGTATTCACCTTCAAAATTACAGTCAGTCAATGTTTTAAACATCCATTTACTGATTTTAAAGTTTCATATTGTTCTAAGGTACTTTTTCAAAAAGTCTTAAGTCTTTTGAAGATCCTTAGTCTTAAGATCCTTCAAAGTCCTAATCAGTCTCCGATTCACCAAACAGTTCATTAAACTCGGCTTCAGTCACAGTTGTACCTGCATTGTCATCGTAGATGTTGGCAGTGTCATCTTCAGGCTCCGATTCCTTTACATCATCAGTCTCTGTTGTGTCATCATCAAATATGGCATCGTCTTCTGACCCGTCGAGCGCATTGCTGATACAGCATTTCCGAAATGATTTTTCTATCATTTCCGAGGGAAAGGACTCCCACAAGTACTTGACCCACTAGGTGACCAGATTGATTTCGGGCTTCATAAGATTCCCGCCTTTTGTCAACTTCTCCATGCCTTAGCACATCCATTCAGACCACATTTTGCGTAGCCTGTCTTTAAAGGGTTTGTTCAGGCAGACATCAAGCAGTTGTAGGACAGAAGTTAAGCCTCCAGGTATTACAGCCAAAGTAGTTTTCATTTTTTTGGCCACATTTTTCACCTCATCCATCTTGTGTGCCCTGAACATGCCCCAAACGAGCACAGCAGGTTTCTTGAAAAGTGCTCGTGGTCTCTTATTCCACACTTTTCCCAGCCATTCAATAGTCCCTCTTTCATTCATCCATCCATCCATCCCTTTACGTGTGCACGTACGATGATACCAGCAGGAAATTTCATGTTTTTAGGCAAGGTTTTTCTTTTAAAAATAACAATAGGAGGGAGCTTTGACCCATTGGCCAAACACGATAAAACCACCATAAAATGGATTTTTTCATCACCAGTGGTTGTAATTAAAACTGTATTTTCACCAACACCAGTTACTGTTCTGTTGATTGGGAGATCGAATGTCATCAGTGTTTCGTCCATATTTCGTATTTGTGACAGCTCAAATGCATATTCCTTTTGATGTTTTATAATAAACTTTTGGAAAGATTTGATTTTTTTCTTCCAAAGCTCTTGGCAGCTTTTGGCTATATATGTTTGCTGACAAAGAGAGACTGTAACGGTTCAAGAAGCGAGTACACCAACCTGCTGATGCGACAAACATTGACGGCTTTACTGACTAGTATTTGGCATCTTTCGACATTTGCAGAGCACA